TCTGTCCAAAGCAGTTTAGACTTGAGTGTCTTGCCCAAGGACACAACCATGTCAGCACTCTCTCAGCTTCTACTGAAACACAACCCTTTCAATAAGAACCTCCCATCACAGATCTTCACCAAAGGGTGATGTTTTTTAGCTTTTGACAAAACTATCACAGCAACCTTTATCAAAAGCATTTCAACTTCTTGTCTTGTTCTATAACTGAAATGATTTATAGATTTACAGGTATCTTTATAAACAGCTTGTACAGTGACTAGATATTATCTGAAGATAGTAAAAACAGCATTTTGATGTTTTATATAAAAGTTTTCAATCACGAGTTTAGAATACAAATCTAGTATATTGTTAGAGATTTGCATTTGTGTCATTTACAGGCCACCTATGATGCAGACCTTAAGAGCAACAGGCTGGTAGATGATATTGTTCTGCAGTTTACATCTATCAAGTAAGTATATCTCAAAGTAAACCAGGAGATGATATGTTGTTAACATCTGTCAGGTAGATATAACACAAAGTAAACCAGGAGATGATATGTTGTTAACATCTGTCAGGTAGATATAACACAAAGTAAACCAGGAGATGATATGTTGTTAACATCTGTCAGGTAGATATAACACAAAGTAAACCAGGAGACGATATGTTGTTAACATCTGTCAGGTAGGTATAACACAAAGTAAACCAGGAGACGATATGTTGTTAACATCTGTCAGGTAGATATAACACAGAGTAAACCAGGAGATGATATGTTAACATCTGTCAGGTAGGTATAACACAAAGTAAACCAGGAGACGATATGTTGTTAACATCTGTCAGGTAGATATAACACAGAGTAAACCAGGAGATGATATGTTGTTAACATCTGTCAGGTAGATATAACACAAAGTAAACCAGGAGATGATATGTTGTTAACATCTGTCAGGTAGGTATAACACAAAGTAAACCAGGAGATGATATGTTGTTAACATCTGTCAGGTAGATATAACACAAAGTAAACCAGGAGATGATATGTTGTAAAGTTTACATCTGTCAGGTAGATATAACACAAAGTAAACCAGGAGATGATATGTTGTAAAGTTTACATCTGTCAGGTAGATATAACACAGAGTAAACCAGGAGATGATATTGTTCTCAAGTTTGCGTCTTATTGGTTGATCCTAGGACTTCAGAAGGCTTTTTTAATAGGAATCCAGAGAATTGGTGTTTACTTTTTCTGACTGACAGATAATTCTGATGGTTAACTTGTATTACAGGGTGTCAGATCGAAAGGCTGGCAAACAAATAGAGAGTGGAACACGTAACCAGGGGAGGAATTGTGATGACAATGTTCCGGCTACAAAGAAAGATGTTCATGCTGTTGGAAAACTGCAGGCATTTTCCTCAGAGAAGAAGGACAGCATTCAGTGCAAGCAACAAGGACATTATTCCTCCCAAGAAAAGGATGACATTCAGACTGAAGAGCAACAATTGTCCTCACAGACAAAAGACTATCAGGACGATAAAGTTCAAATGTCCCTCGGTAATGATGCAAACCAGACTGACAAATCCAAAGATGAAAAACTACATTCTGGTTTTGGCAGGTTTACCCGAATGAAGAAAAGAAGAGAAAATAACCAGGTAAAACTTTTCATTAGGAAATTGGAAAATGTTTGTATAATTTTTTGTATTCAGTGGTGCTGTCATTTTAAGGCTTGAGTTCCATTACGAAAGATATCATGTTTATCAGATGTATAAACAAGTGTATAACCATTATGTTTCCCTCCTTATTGGAGACATATGTCTGTAGTGCTGGTTCTTCTAATAGATTCTTGTTAAAACTTTTAACCAGATAAAGATGTGTTAATGAAAGTTGTATATGTTCAATACCTAGAGCCAATGTGCAGTGCAATGTTTCACTTTAATGTCAAAGATCAAATAAATTAACTGTTCAATGAATTCTTGTTTGGGTGTAGCATTTAAACCATTAAAGATATATTATTGAAATTGATTGAGCTGGTGTGCGATTCTTTGCTGTTAGGTCACTGACTTTGATCTCAAGGTCAGAGTCATAATACTTATTCAAGGGATGACGAAACTTGAAACTTGTCGAACACCAGCCAAAGTATTAGTCTTTTTAGTGATATTGTTGGTCTGTAAATACACGATAATTTGAGTCGTTAGTGATTACTGTTACCACATGGATTTACATTATGGTGGTAAGTCTGTGTTGATAAAGAATCCTTTCTTGCTAAACGATCATATAAGTGAAAAGTCTGTCATTAATAATACAACCAGTATCCTCTTTCTTTCTGCACAGCTTTATGATCGGGACAATAATTTCATAAAAAATATTGATTCACTGTTATTGTTCACAATAGGTCATTTTAGTGCATTTTTCCTTCTGTATACAATGTATATTGTTTGACATTTTAACCAGTTATCTTGTCATTTGTCTCTTTACAAGCGATGTCACATGGACGTACTACTCACCTCTTTCTCCATTTTTGTTTTGGTTCTGACCGCGTCTGAACGTATTATGTAACTTTTCCTCATCAATATTCATATCCTGGTGTTGATTAATGAGACTAATTCCGGCACCGATATCTACGGTACCCTTTCAATTTCAAGTTCGAAACTTTATACAAGTCTTTATTTATATATTATCAATTAGTATACAACAACATTTCCAGTCAATAAAATATGAAAAAATATCTATAACGGAATGGGTCTGGCTCTTTAATCTGTTCCTGAAATCGAAAAAGGCCATTTTTGGTCATGCAGTAGAGGACTCTTTGAACGGTCAAGAAAAGGACTTCTTTAAAAGTGGCATTGAGGCCCTTAAACATTGCTGGCAAAAGTATATAGATACTAAAGGGGGTTATTTTGAAAAATAATGCAATATGTCTGCTGAAAGTCAAACCCTTACATACAAGGCTCACAATTTATCAATCAGCCCTTGTAAACAATATAAGATCAAGTTGTCTTTAATGTCTGTGATGTGTTATCTTAATGTTTACAAGAACATCTTAGAACCTTAGAATTTACTACGGGATTTAGAAAACATAGCTTTGATTAATACAGGTACTGATAGAAAAAGTAAATGATAGCAAGATATTTCTACACAAAACAATGATATCAAGATATTTCTACACAAAACAATGACAGCAAGATATTTCTACACAAAACAATGATATCAAGATATTTCTACACAAAACAATGATATCAAGATATTTCTACACAAAACAATGACAGCAAGATATTTCTACACAAAACAATGACAGCAAGATATTTCTACACAAAACAATGACAGCAAGATATTTCTACACAAAACAATGACAGCAAGATATTTCTACACAAAACAATGACAGCAAGATATTTCTACACAAAACAATGATATCAAGATATTTCTACACAAAACAATGATATCAAGATATTTCTACACAAAACAATGATATCAAGATATTTCTACACAAAACAATGACAGCAAGATATTTCTACACAAAACAATGATATCAAGATATTTCTACACAAAACAATGATATCAAGATATTTCTACACAAAACAATGATATCAAGATATTTCTACACAAAACAAGATATTTCTACACAAAACAATGATAACAAGATATTTCTACTCAAAACAAGATATTTCTACACAAAACAAGACATTTCTACACAAAACAATGATATCAAGATATTTCTACACAAAACCATGATATCAAGATATTTCTACACAAAACAAGATATTTCTACACAAAACAATGATAGCAAGATATTTCTACACAAAACAATGATAGCAAGATATTTCTACACAAAACCATGATATCAAGATATTTCTACACAAAACAAGATATTTTTACACAAAACAATGATATCAAGATATTTCTACACAAAACAATGATATCAAGATATTTCTACACAAAACAAGATATATTTCTACACAAAACAAGATATTTCTACACAAAACGATATTTCTACACAAAACAAGATATTTCTACACAAAACAAGACATTTCTACACAAAACAATGATATCAAGATATTTCTACACAAAACAATGATAACAAGATATTTCTACACAAAACAAGATATTTCTACACAAAACAAGATATTTCTACACAAAACAATGACAGCAAGATATTTCTACACAAAACAATGATAACAATATATTTCTAAACAAAACAAGATATTTCTACACAAAACAAGATATTTCTACACAAAACAAGATATTTCTACACAAAACAAGACATTTCTACACAAAACAATGATATCAAGATATTTCTACACAAAACAATGATAACAAGATATTTCTACACAAAACAAGATATTTCTACACAAAACAATGACAGCAAGATATTTCTACACAAAACAATGATAACAAGATATTTCTACACAAAACAAGATATTTCTACACAAAACAAGATATTTCTACACAAAACAATGATAGCAAGATATTTCTACACAAAACCATGATATCAAGATATTTCTACACAAAACAAGATATTTCTACACAAAACAATGATATCAAGATATTTCTACACAAAACTATGCCTATAATTGAAAACATGTGATTGTCTTAATTTCAGATAAATAATTATATGAGCCTTTTTGTCTAATTAAGATATTTTTTGATTTACAGGGTAATAAATTGATCTTAGATATATTTTCGCCCAAGAGAAAGAATCCCAGAGAAGCTTGTCCCACAGTGGTTATCTCAACCGACGAAGAAGACTTTGAGGATTGTTTGAAAAACTCAAATATTGTGAACTTACAAGATGAACAAGTACAAAAACGTCGTTCTAGAAGATCATCACATGCTGTCAGTAAGAAGCAGATAGGGGGTGTTGATATAGATTTAATGGAGAGTATAGCTGATAGCTCTTTAGGTTCAACAGATAATGTGGCTAATGTCTCCACAGACAGTCGGAGAAGTGCCAGAAGTAACAAGGAAAACAGTATGTTACCTTGTGATAAAAATGGGCCTGTTCTGTCAGCCATATCACTGGATACCACAGAGTCACTTTCTCATGATGAGGATTCAACACCACAAGATCAAACCATGGAGTTCTCTACTGTTAAAAGTAATTATCCAGCATGTAAAATTTGTTGTTTTCAGACAATTATCCTCAGTATAAGGTAGAAAGATTTTGTTTAGTGAATTAGGGCATCAGTGTCTTCATTTCATATAGATGAGAAAGTTTCAAACATACCTGTTACTTTTTGATTCCAAACTTATATACTTTTTATCACAAAAATAAACTTGAGATATTTTTTATAGTAACATATACCTATTTCAGTTGTGATAGGTACAATTGATCATGTATTTATGTGGTTTAAGGCAGAATTATAGCTAAGTGTGTGACTTTACCACACAATCTAGTTATTTTAATATTTGATCACAAATCAGTCTCACCATTTATAAATACATTTGTCCCTAGTGCCATGTCCAGTGTGTGGTGTGGAAGTGAATGACCAGGCTATCAACACTCACCTTGACCAATGCCTAGCTAGTGCAGAAAAGAAATCATCATTACGAAGGTAAAACAATAAATATAGCAACCTTTAATGATAGTTACAAGGGGAGTTTACATGTTTTTCTGATAGTCTTGTCAGAGGATGTTACTGTGCAGTATGACAATGATATTTGAATATTGAACTTGAAACAATCCATGAGACAAATTTTGTATAATAGACCTGTAATTTGATTGAATGATATATTGAGTTAACACCTTACAGACATTAATGAATTATGAAAAATCTCATACCGTCTAAAAAAAACAATTGTTTTCATTACTTCTGTATTCCTCTCAGTTTTCTATCATTTTGTAAAGAAAAAATATATGCTAAGGTAAATCTGAGTGAAAAATATCCAACAAATGAAGCGCCAACAAAAATGCATATTGTAAATTCAAGCCCAGCGAAAAAATTATACTACAGTATTTCCGACAGTCCTTGTTTAATAGTATTTATTAATTAGATTAATACTTTTTGTCTTTGCTTTGTTGAATAATCAGAGAATAAAGAATGTTACTTAAAGCATGTAATGTGTACTTTTATTCAACAGAGCAACACCTAAAAGAAAACATATGACCAAGCTAGTTTACAACATAATGTCAGATAAAAATTTACGGAAGAAACTCAAAGAAGATGGTCTGTCCTGCAAGGGCGATAAACAGGTAAATTTAATTTCTGCAAAGAAATGTTCAAATGCCTTATCATTAAAAGCAAACCAGAAAAAAAGAAAGGTAAAGATCCAACATATAAAAATAAAACAATGATGGGTGCCAAGATCCCTCTGGGACCCCTTGTTCTTAAATTTCATATTTAGATTCCCCTTGGTCCCTGGTTGTGCCCATTTGATTTTGGGTGTGATCAAAAAAACAAAATAGCTGACAGGTGCCCATCTTGTATTTTAACTTTGAAATTTTGTTATTGCTATTTCTTGAGAACAACTGTATAGATCTTTCTCAAATTTCCTATATAGTCTCTTTTGGTACTTAGTTTTTACCATCTAATTTTGGGACTGATCAGAAAAACAAAATGGCTGACAGACAGCCATCTTGGTTTTTTACTTTGAAAGTTTGTTATCATTATTTTTTAACAAGTACTTGATGGTTCTGAAATTTCATATGTAGGTTCCTATTGGTCTCTACTTGTGCCATTATGTTTTTGGGACTGATCAGAAAAACAAAATGGTCGACAGATGGACATCTTAGAATTTGACTTTGAAAGTTTATCACTATTCTCGAGATATACTGTATAGATCTTTCTAAAATTTCATGTATGTGGTTCTTTAAGTCCCTATTTGTGCCTATTTGATTTTGGGACTGATTAGAAAAACAAAATGGCTGACAGGCAACCATCTTGGATTTTGCCTAGTGCAGATTGTTATTGCTATTTCTGAAGAAGTACTGAATGAATATCACTAAATCATATGTATGTTCCCTTTGGTCTTTCCTTGTGCTCGTTTGCTTTTGGAACTGATCAGAAGATACAAAATGGTTTCCAGGTGGCCATTATGGATTTGGCATGTAAAGATTATCATTTATTTCTGCAGAGAAATGTTCAAATGTCTTATTATTAAGAGCAAAAACAGACAAGGAGGGAAAAGATCCAACTTTCAAAGAACAAATAAAAATCTAATGATGGTGGGTGCCAAAAAACCCTCTGGGACCTCTTGTTACAATGAAAGTTTGTTATGAATAGATCTTAAGAGAGTCAGGATGGACCTTTCATGTGTACTTTTCCCTTGATCCCTATTTATACCCTAATGGTTTTGGAAGTGATAAATAAAAGGAGCTGACAGAAGACCATCTTGGACTTTTGACTATAACATAATGTTATAGTTACTTCTAGAGAGTACTAGATGGATCTTTCTCAAATTTCATATGTGAGGTCCCCTTGGTCTCTAGTTGTGCCCGGTTGAGTTTGGGACTGGTTTGAAAAATCAGAAGTACTGAGAGGTGATCTTTGTTTACTTTGGCAGTTAAAGAATATTATATATATTTTATAGAGGAATTTTCCAATATCATATGAAAAAAAGAGGGAAAAAAAAGGAAAAGATTCAACTCTTAAAGAACAAACAATGGTGGGCACCAAGATTCTTCTCTGGGATTTCTTGTGTGTGTAAGAGGTTTGTGTCGCACTACCGCATCAAAATTAGAAAAAAAGAAAAATGAAGTGGTGCAGAGGATTTCATTCCTCAGAGGGGTAAAATCTTAACCTAGCCATTAGGTTATAATCCCTTATTCAACAAAAGTATAAATAGTTTTACATTTTGCTTTGTAATCATATATAAAGATGCCATCCATTGTGTCAGAATATTTAATGAAGTATTGAGTCTGAAACAGGGAATAATGGGAATCAATATTGACAAATGACCTTGTTATTAGGATTGTAACATTTGGATTATGTATGATTTGCTTATTTATGTTCGGTTGCTATTTCAGACACTGATAAACCGACATCGTGAATTTGTGCTGATGTATAATGCGGAATGTGATTCCTTAAATCCAAGGCCAGGTATGATTTTAGGCTGTCAACTGTCGGTCTATATTTACTATCATCTGTCATTCTACACCTGATAAAATTACTGTGTACAGTGGAGGTCAAGGCCTGCTAAAGTTACTATATACAGCTGTCACTGACACACATGTTCAAAGTCACAGGGGCTAAATTTGTTAAAACTGTTAAAAAAAACCTTTCTGGCTAACCAAAAGTCACATGATATTTGGGTGATGTGTTTTCAGGATACAACCCAATAAAGTTTGCAAAGAAGAAATGACATTGATGCTTATTCAACATCCTAGTGAGGTAAATTTGTGAAGATGTTTCAAAACACTTCTGACTACCCAAAAGATGTAGAAGCATGTTATTTGGCTGATGGGTTCAAAGAATGATCACTGATATATTAAAAAAAATATGACCTTGAAGGTCACATAGATCAAATTTCTTGAAACCTTTAAAAGATTTCTTCTGGTAAATTAAAAGGTTGAGAAATATGGAATTTGTTGTAGAGGTGTTTCTATGTCAAAGTTCAACAAATTTGTTGGAGAGGTGTTTCTATGTCAAAGTTCAAGAGAAGGAAAGGTCTGTCATTTACTTAAAATCCCAAGTCACAACTGTTTAGAGTTGAGCATTAGAAGTATGTATGTCAATATATTTGTGATATTAACACCGATTCTTAGTTCGATACACATTGAATACCAATTGAGCGATGCAGGCCCATTGACCCTCTTGTTATGAATTTGAATTTTGCTGGCAGTAATTCTCTTGATCTACAGATGGGAAATTTCAGTGTTTCGGTATCAGCACTGGGCTACACTCTGTTGGCATTCATAGGTAATGTGAATGCCAACAGGATAATTCATTGTACATATCATGTTGAATTTTCTTTTATCCAATTGGCATCTAGAAATGCAGTAAAGAGAATTATAGACTTATATTTAGCATTTTCAATTATTTGGAAACAAATGAAAGCAACTAAATTTTGATCACAACTTGCAGTATCCCTATGTGATTGGCAGTACATTAGCTTAGTAATTGATATATAGCAAGATTTTTTGTGGGTATCAGATTTTTGCAAATTTATGGACACTTCATCAATTGCAAAAAAAAAAAATTAAATCTCGAAATTTGTATGCTTTCCTCTCCTTGTTGTAAATGCATGGGTAATTCAGTATAGAGCTGATCTACTTACATCTGAACACGTTCTTGTGAATATTCCTTTCTGTTAGGACTGGTCAGTCGGATTTCCAGTGGATGTTCCACTGGTAAACTGGTATATATGTAAGCTATGTCCATTCTACAGTATTCTAATATTTCAAAAGAGGCCTATCAAATTTATGACAAAATCACAGAAGATAAAATACCTGATGGTATGCAAAAATGCCAAATAGTAAATTTGTTGGATTTTTGCAAAAAAGTACACCGCAAAGATATCCTGATATATGGTATTGAAATACGAGAGACATCTTGTTACTGCCTTCATCAGCAGCTTGCATGTATATTGGAAATGGTTGGTCGATACTTTCAAACAGAAAATGTTTATTTTTGCAGTTGAACAGGTGATAAAAGAACTTGAAGCCCTAGAAAAGGCAAAGCAAACAGGAGTCTCTAGCAGTATACGCAAGGAGGTATTGTATTTATAACCAAGCATATCTATTTTTTGACATTCTTTATAAATGGAGAGATTGTTAAGTAAATGGAATGTAACATCAGGCCCTGTATCTGTTCGTAGATAATCTGTGAAGACATCCATGCCAAACAATAACAACTTATAACCTGGAAAATAAAATATGTTGCTGTCTCTTGTTGATTAAAAATTTATTTAAAATTAGAATCACTTATTTAATACTGTAATTATTTAATATGCCTGCAGGCCTTTTTTCACTCATTTGGGAGTGAGGCTTTTTATCTCATTAAAAAAAAAAACACCAAAAAATAAAAAAAAAAACAACCAACTCAGTAGGAAACTTTTAGGAGTAAGCTATTAATTTTTTTTTAAAATTTAGCCATTTGGAAATAAATCCAATTTGGAATGTGGCCCGTATCCGGCCCCACAGAGCTAATGAAAAATTACCTGGCCATCAGAGAGGTCAAAATGATCACGTGTTCATTGGTGGTACTTAGCCTTACACTTCTGTCTGGTTAGATGATATAGCACCATTGCCCTGCAGATGTAAACTATAATAATACAGTTTCTCAAACCATTACAGGATTTATTTTTATACACCTCTCAAATCTTCTCCTGCAACCTATTGTGATCAGGTGTTGGGACTGTCCATTGTAAACTTTTGATTGTCCAAAAATCTCCTCATTTGGTTTTCAACCAAACTCTTCGAAAGTTCATCATGACATGTTTTTTTTTCTCTGAAAAGTATTAAGGAAGTGTTGGTGCCCTCTATCCCACGAAATTAACTTGTAGTAAATATGTGAATATGTCTTTGATAAAGAGTTGCCTATGTTTATCTGACACTCTATCTCTCCACTATCGTACTATGACATCATATCTTTTCGTTAGGCTCAGTGTCATAGACATTTGATTTCGTGGATTATAAATGTGTAGTGTATAAAATGTACTTATACTAATTATAACAGTATGTAGACATAGAAATTCCTGGATTTAGAATAAAATAAACAAAAAAAATCGCCTCCTAAAATGAATGGCTTTTATTTGAGAGCTGGCTACCTGCTGTAATGATTTGTATCATTTAAGTAGAATTAAAACCTTGATATGTAGAGATGTTAATAAATTATCTTTATGGTCACTGGATGATTTTATGATTATCTTGGTATTATTGGTTTCTTCTCCTCAGTCTGGTAGAGGAATATTCCAATTATTTCTAAAGCAATTTTAGCTTTTTCTGTTTGTTTAACTGAAAAGTTCCTTAATCTATAATATATGTAGTAGTCACATTTATATGTTGTTGTTTTTTTTTCATTCAGAGAGTTCATATTGAAAAGAACAGTTCCCCTGCCACGATTAAAAGTGTCCTACAAAATTATGGTAAGTTTGTGTCAAAAAACGGTTACAAAAAACAGTTACCTTAAGATGTCATCGCCGATGTTTCAAAAAACGGTTGCAAAAAACAGTTACCTTAAGATGTCATCACCGATGTGTCAAAAAACGGTTACAAAAAACAGTTACCTTAAGATGTCATCGCCGATGTATCATTCTGATTTACTGATTGAAAATATGAATTTGTGAAATATAGTTGTTACTATGTTCAATGATATGATCAGTATAATGGTAATTTTCAGTTTGCCTGAGCATCACCATGTTTAATGATACAATATTATTAATGATATCTTGTTTGTTTCACCAGAAAAGGCACATAAGTCTCAGTTTGATGACTTGGTCAATGCGGCCAGGAATAGTCGCAAAACTAAAGGTGAGAAATCACATCCAGGGAAGAAAAGTGAGATTCCAACAGAGGAGAGTGAAAACGAAAAACCTGTCGCCATGGCTACGGATGTTACACCTAGTCATGTGATGAAGTCTCAAAGAGGAAGGTCATATGTTGAGAGTGACTCTGCTAGTCCTTTAGTCCAAACAAGTTCTTTGTCAACATCTTGTCCTGTGGATAACTTGTTAGGAGGTAATTCAGGTGTAGAAGGTAGCTCTGATGATCATTCGGTGCTAAAGAATTCCTCGTCATGTCCTGTAGAACACTCATCGGAAAGTAATCCAGATATGGAAGGTGATCCTGTTACAGAAATAAATTCAGAGTTGTGTTCTGTAACTAACTCTCTAACAGAAAACTCTAACAGTAATTCAGGATTAGACAAAAACTCCCCAACCAGTCATACACTCCCTAGTCCTAGTACAGGGTCATCAGAAATACGGATAGAAAGGACACCAAAGAAAGTGAGAAGACGAATACATAGAGATATCATAACGTCCACCCCATCACCAAGAAAACTGGCTGGCCTGGGATGTTCCCCATTAAAGAGTCCCAGCTTACCAGCTGATCTCATTGTACCACCATCACCAGGAAAGTGTGCACTCTTCGTGGAAGACAGCGAGTTTGGAAGTGACACAGAGGATCAACTCTTTAAGAAAATCAACTCGTCTATAGGTATAACATATGTTAAATATTCTGAATCAGTTCAGTTAAAACAGGAAGATTTAGATGTAAACTTACATAGAATTTTCTTGAAGTGGAAACTTCAAAAAGGTGAAAGGGGAACAAATACAATCAACTGGAAGATAAATACTCTGGTTTTTCAGAGATCATTAGATATACTGTAATAACAGATATTCAGAAGGTTTTCTGATTGCTATTAATGTCTCTAAATTGTCATATAATGGTAATATGTTGGCCATCTTATGTTGGCCATCTTCCTGACAGGAATGCATGTTTTAGCTCTACAGACATTGTGTGAAGTCTGTAGAAAAATCCTATAGTTTAGTTGATCTGTAGATATCTTGTTGAGCTTCATTGAGAACAGATTTATTGGCGTCATCTTCTCCATCTGTCCGTCCGTACCTCTGTATGTACGTCCATTTCTTGTGAACGCAACTCCTCCTAAACTAATGATCAGATTTTCATAAAACTTGCTCAATGTCACTACTACAATGGGTAGATGTGCATGAAAGGGCAATTTTTTGGTTCATTGATTTTGTAAGATTTGTGCCATTTTCAACTTTGTATCTGTAGCCTGCTCATAGTTGAGCCTTGTGAACGCAACTCCTCCAAAACTAATTATCCGATTTTCATAAAACTTGCTCAATGTCACTAATACCATGGTTCGATAGGCATGAAGGGGCGATTTTACAGTTCATTGATTTTTATCAGATTTATGCCATTTGATCTTGATCTTTATATTTTGTGGTGGTGTATATTGTATCCACAGCACTCTTGTTTTTAAGGTCATCTGACCCGAAGTGTCCACAAGTCCACTATTTTTAACTTCTTCTCAAGTTCCACTAGTGGTATTGGGCTCAAACTTGCATGAAATGATCCCAAGGTGGTCCGAATCAAATGTTGTTATTTTTTCGCTGCAGATACTTTTTCTGAAGATGACCAAGAGGATGATTGTCGATCTGACTGGCCTGCCCTGTCCCAAACTCCCATACCTCGGGAGCAGGATGGGGCCGTTCAAAGTGTGGAAGTGGAAGACACGCCTTTGTTTGATACTGAAGTTGTACACAACACATCCCTACGGTCGCGTCACGTATCTGGGCTTTCAGTTGAAAGTGGTGTTTCCACGGGTAGTGATGAATCTTCTATATTGTGGGTCTCGTCTCCAGTAACCATGAAGGTAATAAACTAAGGTTTCGTGGCGTGATTTTTGTCTTTTATAACGATGTAGCAGAGATTGACCTTATTTCAGTGTATTGTATCCCATAATCCTCTGTTTTGTCTACCCCATAATCCTTGATGTGTCTAGTTATTATCAGTTACATGTCATTACCTTTTGTACCATTTCCCATAATTCTCTGTTATTTCTACCCAATGGAGAAATTTGTGTACTTTGTGGTCTGCTTACTAACTTATTTCCATAAACTTTAAATCAGTTTCAGTTTTAATTTTCTATTATTTTTTTTGCAGATTGGGACCAGAAGACAGTCTGAACGAGTCAAAGCAGGGTAAATATGATTTTTGTCCTTGACTCATTATATGATGTAAAATTAAATTGTTAGTATTTCAATACTTGTGGAATACAAATGGAAAATCAGATCTCGATCAAGATGATTGAATTTACTTGAGGTCGTATGTTTCATGTACAGAAATGAAGATCAGAGGAGGAGTATAAAGGATAGCCGTGATGAGAAGAAGAAAGGAAACGCAAAGAGGAAGAGATCTACTGGGTCATCTGTAGGTGGCATCGCAAAGAGGATCAAACGCAGAAGATGAGATATAAAAATCAGAATCAATGGCGTTCAAAACATATTTGTTAATGAATTTTTCAAACTTCACAAATTGTGGACATTTTCCTTATGTTAAAACATTCTGTTCAAGTTATATTTTAAGGTTGTTTTTCCTCTTCCGGTAAAACGAGATGGAAGTATTCAATCTTATCTAATCATGTTTTATCTTTTAGTCTGTTATGTCACATACATATTTACCAGTTTTGTTACTGAATAATTTGTACATTAAGATCAAGGTTACAGCAAAGCATCTAATCAATGTTCAAGTGATTCGTATTTGTCTGGTTAGTAGGTTTTAAACACTAAGCTTCTGCCCTCAAATAAGCCCCCATATTTAGCAGAATCAGCAGTTCTTCCCACACTTCAGGCCTTGGTTAACTGTTTTTAGTACTTGCCCAGCTGGGCAAGTGCTATTCAATTTCTACTTGCCAGTTGCCGAAATTAACTTGCCCATACAAATGATGTTGAATTATTAGGTTTTCACTCTAGTATAAACATTGCACTGTATGTTTGAATTAAAAAGAGACTATCTTATGTTCCTTTAGATTGTCTTTTATTTACAGTCTCTTAAAATGTAATGAAGTAACAAGTTTATGTTTTTATTCACAACTAGGCCTTCTTGATCTTTCACCAGCTTCCCACCAATGTTTAATAACCAAGTTTGGGTCAAATTCTGAGGTACTAGGTCCATTCACTGAAATCCTCCTCAAATGGTCGTTTGATCGTGTTCTTTTTTACTGTCCGATCTTTTTTGCTTAATGCCAACATCGCGATCAGCTTGCCTTTTGCTAGTAAACCTGAATTTATGTAACAACATACTGCATACTAGCTTCGTAGTCAACAGCGAAATGACAGTGTCTATTAATAGAACGGGAAATTTTGCGCATGCATCTTTCCACAATTCCATACCGGCAGTAGTCTACTTCCTGTTTAGTGATGTAAGGTTAGTGACAAAACATGCTGCTTAAACATATTCTTTCTATTTCTTGACACTTGTAATTTCAATTTGTGCTAATACCAGCTTTGTCTTTATTGATAAAATATGCATGTGTTTGTTTCAAGATTCTATTACCGATATATTTTGTCTCGACCATTTAGCCGACTAGAGCATGCGCAGTGAACATTAGTGACTGTGAAACCATCGGCTATGTCTAGGCAGTCGGTTCTAATATATATGTCTGTCATTTAATTAAAGGAAACAATTGTCAGGATGTGTTGTTTTAGAGCTTACATTTCAAGGAGACTTAAGTAAGAAAATGTAGTTCTGATTTTCAATACAATATTTCTACCGGTACGTGACATGATCAATGACATAAGACTTTGATCACCTATCTTGTTGAATGTTTTTCGCTTGCTTGATCGGGCAAATTACTGGTAAAATCATGTTGCCCGACACCAATTTTTACTTGCCACGGGCAATCGGGCAACTGTTAACGTCGAGCTCTGCACTTTAATACTGAACTTTAACATAAGGAAAGGGGGCTAAACTAAGGATAAATACAATAAAAGTTTTTCCTTTGAAATGTCATCAGTATTTAGATGTGATTTTGTGTCACATGACTCAATAATATCATAGAAAGCATTACAGTTGAAAGGATCACATGACTCAATAATATCCTAGCAAAGCATTGCAGGTGAAAGGATCACATGACTCAATAATATCCTAGCAAAGCATTGCAGGTGAAAGGATCACATGACTCAATAATATCCTAGCAAAGTATTGCAGGTAAAAGGATCTCAATATTCTGATATTTACTATGTGCCAGGTTTATTTCAAACATCATCATTTATTTCATTAAAAACTATTTATTTCATAAAGATAAAATGTGAAATAAAGAATTACGTCGTTTATATTATTGAATTAAATCGTAGAATATGTATTTAGTATTTAATATATTTTCTGTCTACCAGCAGGATAGAGTATTATTGTGTAGGCTGCATGTTACTGAGATTAATTTCATATTATAAATTATTGTAGGATGCTAGCGTAGCACTATAGGAGTAGGAAACTAGTGTCCCAAATACTATAGCACTATATGAGTAGGAAACTAGAGTGTCCCAAATACTTTAGCACTATATGAGTAGGATACTAGAGTATCCTAAATACTATAGCACTATACGAGTAGGAAACTAGAGTGTCCCAAATACTATAGCACTATACGAGTCAGATACTAGAGTATCCCTAATACTTTAGCACTATAGGAGTTCTCGATAATCTACACACTGTTCGTGAAGTAGTATTTTAATAATACATTGTCATTATTGTAAAGTTTGTGAAAAAAATGTTTTTGTATGCACAGTAAAAGACTTCAATGATAAAATCTTGTGTCAGTTGTTATTTATTTTTCATGTTATTTTACAGAAATATACAGTTTTTCTCTCCATTAATCTTTATCGCTTGCAATATGGTTGGTCTTGCACAGGAAGTTATAGTTAACCTTGATATTTATCAGAGAAACCTGTACTGTGGAATTTTTATACAACTGTCAAAGATTTTGTTGGGTTATATTGTAGTAAGAATTTGTCCGTCCTTCGTAAACTTTCATTTGTCAGGAGAGCTCCTCCCACAATTTTCAACCAGTTGTTTTTCAAACATGGTAGATTTAATATCCATGGAAGGTATTTGTGTTTTCCTCCATGACAGTTTGATAAAACTGTATTTGGAAGAGTTATTGCCCCTTTTTCATGTTAATCTCGCCTGGAAATCTTCATCTTGATGATATGAAGTTATGTTTTTCTGAACAGTAGTTTGATTTGATGCTATTTGGAAAAGTTACTATACTTTTTATTGTTTTTAATAATGTTAAACTTGTCCAGAAATCTCACTTCTCAACTGATTTCTTTCAAACTTGGTTAACTTAATCTCCATAACAAGAAGTGATTTTCCTACACAGAAATTTGATTCCAGAAGTTTTGAAGGTGTTATCGCCCTTTGGATTTTTAGCTTTGTTTTTTTTTGTTTTATCTTGTCAGTCGTCCTTTGTCAGTCATCAATCAATTTCTTTCAATCTTGGTAGGTTTGATTATCACAATTATAGATTGTGTTTTCACGAGTACATTTTGATTCAACAATATTTCACAAAGTTATTGCCCTTTGTTCTTTTCAGAATTTCAATCTTGTCCAGAGATTTCTTTGTTTTCCACCCATCTTTTTTAATCTTGGTACACTTAAATTTATCACTAGAATATACAGCACTTTTTTCCCTTTTTTCAAAGTTTCACTACTATTTCCATTTTGTTTTATTAACAAAATCTAAACATATCTTTGACAATGGATGGGCTTATACTGTTCTACCCTGCAGGACTCTTAAAACTGACGACATATGGAACATCAATAGAATTAAAATGAACAATCTACTGCAGTCACCATTTCTAAATACAACGACATCAAGAACCAACAGTTTTGTTACAATATTTTATTACTGTTTAAAAGGCAATATGTAAGTTTCAACATAAGATTTTTCTCCTTTCATGATTGCTACTTGTAGAAGGGATATCCATAAGATAAATCAGAACTGCTGAAGTTAGCATAATTTAGAAATGTTCTAATTGAGACTTTAAAGCATGCTAAAATGTATACTACCAATACAGGGCCAACAAAAACAACAGCCTAAACATTTATCATTGGAAACTTTATAAACGATAAATAACAAACTTGAAATTATCACATACATTGTTTATACAAAACTATGAAGCTTATTGAGTGATGTAGCCAGTGCACCTCCCCATCTAGATATTGATATTCCTTTCAATTTACTTTGATTATTCTTAGACATCCTAGGTTTCAAAACTTTGGCCTTCAGCATCAGTGATGAGTCCTGGAGGGACAAGCGACTGTATGATGCAGTTTAATGCACTATCTGGCTCTACTTTATATATTTGTATCCAAAGGTACTCTCCACATCTGTATCTTTTGTAAAATCTTGAAAAGCAAACAATCATTTGCAGGGATACAGATTGATTAATGTCAAGTTTGAACAAGATTTCTCTGTCACCTCCAAGGACTAACAAAACAATGAATCATTGATAAACTACCAATACATCAGTTTTTAGTGAGAGAGATTAGACACCTATCAAGACAACAAACATACAAACACTGAGACAGTAAAAAAAGATGATCTCTTGCAGCAAGAACAAACTAGAAATCACAACCTTTGGGGCAAAACTTTTGTCTAACCCTCGATTTGAAGCAGACCGTGGAACTGACAACTAGCAACATAACTGGTCAAGGTGGAATTCTCTTACAAATTTAACACGATTCTATATCAATACAAACGGTAATGAGGAATTTACTAGTGTAAATATGCTTGAAAGCTTTTCCCGTTAGAAATAAATTTCTTGCGTGTGTAATACTTATCACTGCTACAGGTAATCATTTCATAACCTCTGTGATATAGATAAATATAAAATTTGTTGCAGTCAGATTAAATGGAGAATATTTCTGCTAATTGAGTTATTTTCACAACCTTCATAAGTTCATGACCCAGTGTATATGGACACCTTTCTATTTCCGACATTTGTACCCTATTTATCCCAGGGAATCAAGAGTTCCCTACAGAGTGGGCATATACAGGGAACTTTTTTTATCATCATGTTATGAGACTAAACAAAACATTCCAACACAAAGAAAAAAATTGTCACAAAGAAAGTCAATCATAGAGATGGAAGAAACAGTACATGTTAAGGACAAATACGTCTTTTTCTGATGATATGCATATATATAATATTGACTAGCGAATCTGGACAACAAATTAAACTTCACTCTAACAAAAAATCAACAAATAATAAATTTCTGCTGTAGTGTATGTGAGTTCAAAATGTTCCATATTGTCATCATGTCTCAATTTAAATCTGGATGTTAATTAACTCTATTAACATTGTCCTATTTCACTGACTTCCAAAGCCAGAGTACCGAAAACTTTTGTAACAAACTCCTGATCAATGCTGTGTTAATTCATTAACTACAAAAAAATCAGTTAAAATAAAACTGAAAAGAACTGAAAGTACTGCTAGTGGCATTATATCAAAATTATTATCATTTGAAAAGCAAGATTATATACAAACAATGTATTCTTATTGTGGTTTTAATTTTTTCAGTGTGTCACCAACAGACTGTGAAGAAAGGACTATAAAACAAGTGGAATGTAGTCACATTTTATCTCCAATTTCCCATTATTCTAAGCAAAGTTAAACGGAATTTGTTTTCTGGACAAAAATATATTTCCAGTTAGGAAGGCTATAATAAGAATATTCACCATACCTATATATAACTTACATATGATAGACACCATTTAAATGATCTACATATGTATTGTTTAAACTTAAAGCATTACAGGACAGCTCCAAAATGTAGAAAATCCTATCAAGAAAATAAAATGGGCAAATGCCATACATCTAATGTATATATTAACAATTTTCTGATATATAATTAGCTTTACATACATGTAACAGTAATTTTGTTCATCGATAAACTTGTGTGAGAAGGCCAGTATGAACAAACTAAAAACACATGCATGATAACAAAAGCTTCTGAAATACCAGGGGTATAACCACATTACTCTCCATATATTATCACAATACACAGTCACATCAGAGTATCATAATGTTTCTATCAGAGACATAATTTCTTGCTTCAGTATTGCACCTTCTGCCCCAGCACCCTGTTGTGCCTTGAGATCAGCCATCAATGCCTGGTCCCATGAGAAGGTAACTACCACTGCAGGTACCAGTCCAGCTTCGGCAAATGTGTCCGTTTCCTCCAGTTTCTGACCCACTGATAAAAGCTGAAATGGTATCCAATCATTTGCTAAATTTTCTCTCACATATGAAAATAAAGAAGACACTTTTTCCTGGGCCTTAAATGTTCCTTGCAACAAAACACCATTTGGCAGGCGAACTCGAATAAGGGTAAAGCGATACTTCCTCAATTCCCGTAATTCATCCCTTTCTCGCATGGCTTTAGTGCGTAACATGCCAAGCTTTTCCACTGCATCATGTCTCCTCTGTTGTTCTTTCTTGATTTCCTCAGGATTAACATTATAGAATTCATTAGGAATGTCGAACTTGGAAGCATGTTGTGAGGGATGGTACACTTTTAATGCCCTGTCCAGCTGAGGTTTGATTGGCTCTGCTGCTAACAACACTTCTTTAAGGCCACTAAGTCTCTCAGTGTCTTGTGCCATGACTTCATCCATTATATAAAAATTTTCTTCAGTTTCATTTACCAGCTGGGACATTATATGAAAGCCTGCAGCTTGTAGAAACTCATCACTTCCCCTTAAAGGCTCTATTTTCTCTGTGAATGCTTTAGTCGTCAGTCGGATCTTTCGGAACTTCTCCTCGCCAGGATTTGCTATGATATTACCAAGAATTTTAACCAATGTTTCAATTCCAATTCTGACTTTCTCTTTATCTTTGTTGAGAGTATGAATCATTAAAGCAGAAGTCATTTCTGGTTCTTCTGCAATTTGCTTCAAGAGGAACTCCTCAATGCAGGCTTCCATTTCATTTTTGGGAAGGACTGCGGGACCAATATCTGGACAAGTGTAGAGAATTTGTGACAGTACAGGAGCACTGTCCAGTTCTACCTTTGTTGGACCTGCTCGGGCCACCTCCGCAGCAGCTAAGGCCTGCTCCTGCCGTTTCAACTCTGACTCCATCTCCTGCTTCATCTTAGCTCTCTGAGAAACTGCAGCTGATGAATAAAAGAAAAATGGATTTTTTTTTTTTTCAAACAAAATAGAAATGATAAAAAATTTTCTTAATAAATCATGTCTTCACCAAGTTCTTTTTTTTATGCCCCACTGTTTTATGGAAGGTATATGATACAGCCTTAACCCTGCCTACCACATTCCTTTCCACATCAATGTCAAATTTTAAGATGCTCTAAACACATCTGGTTTATATTTATCTTATAGTATTATAACATTAAGTTCTACACCTGATTATATTAAGTGGCCAAAGGTCAAAGGTAAAGGGTCAAAGTTCACATTTGACAACTTCTGCAAATTAATCAAACGATGAAACTTGCACACATGAGAACAGAGACATTCCTGTCTGAAGACATGTTCTAGTTTTTCAATTTAGAGAAAAGGAAAAGTTCTGTCTATGGACAACTTGATTTCAGTACCATTAGTAAAGTTCTGACTACGGACAACTTGATTTCAGTACCATTAGTAAAGTTCTGACTACAGACAACTTGATTTCAGTACCATTAGTAAAGTTCTGACTACAGACAACTTGATTTCAGTGTCATTAGTAAAGTTCTGACTACAGACAACTTGATTTCAGTGTCATTAGTAAAGTTCTGACTACGGACAACTTGATTTCAGTACCATTAGAAAAGTTCTGACTACGGACAACTTGATTTCAGTGTCATTAGTAAAGTTCTGACTACAGACAACTTGATTTCAGTGTCATTAGTAAAGTTCTGACTACAGACCCCTTGATTTCAGTGCCATGAGAAAAGTTCTGATTACAGACCCCTTGATTTTAGTGCCTTGAGAAAAGTTCTGACTACAGACAACTTGATTTCAGTGCCATGAGAAAAGTTCTGACTACAGACAACTTGATTTCAGTGCCATGAGAAAAGTTTGGACTACAGACAACTTGATTTCAGTGTCATTAGTAAAGTTCTGACTACAGACCCCTTGATTTCAGTGCCATGAGAAAAGTTCTGATTACAGACCCCTTGATTTTAGTGCCTTGAGAAAAGTTCTGACTACAGACAACTTGATTTCAGTGCCATGAGAAAAGTTTGGACTACAGACAACTTGATTTCAGTACCATTAGTAAATTCCGACTCCTACATCCTGATTAAAAGAATGCACGGTAGTCCACACTCTACAACTGTAGACAATTATTAAGAAACTTAAAACTCTAAACAAGGCATTGTAAATGATATCTATCACAGGTCAACCTTGACTGAAGCACAATTAAAGATGGTCAAATACATTAAGTTGGATCTAAATCCTTTAAGGAATGTAGCCACTTGAGTACTGACAAATAGCAGCATAATGAACATGACCCATCAGTCATGAAACTCAAACTCATTCGAGATATCATGGTCCTTTTGGAGAATGTGAAGTCTAACCGAAATTCCTCAAGAAATGAAGCAGCTTGAGGGCTATCAACGACTCTCTAGGAAAAAATGGCTGTTCCAAAAACTCCTACATGTTTCATCCAAATTTTGTGAAATATTGCTTTTTATTTCTGATGTAGTTCATATACACAGAAATTTTGTTTATACTATCAATCTTTTGGTTTAGTAAGCACAGCTTGACTAGTAACAAAGCTCTGTAACCAACAAATGAAATTTGAGAAAAATCCTCTGTGCTGTTTTTTATCGGCATGAAATTTATACAGGCACCACAAGGGTCTAAGAGGAACCTACAGTCCACCATCTGGTGATCAGAAATCTGAAGCAGAATGTACATGTATTTTAATTTTACCTGACTTTCTAGTATTCTGACCCTGATTTCTGATCATGGCAGCTTCAGCAGCCTTCTGTGCTTCCCTGGAGGTTTGTTGTCTTGACACAGGATGGATTGGTTCTGTCACCATGGTTCGAGGAGTTGACCGGGTATCATCTGTAAGGCGATGACCATCTCCAGCTCTCTTAAAGGTGACATCAAGTTTTCTTTTTTGAAAAAATTTCTTGATTGCAGCCATCTTTTCAGTGGTTATTCAAAACTGAGAAAGAAATCTCACTGCCTTTCCAAGTTTGGTTGAGTTGGAAACTGTTCAGCAAGGTCTGAAAAATTTATAATTAAAATTTTTTTTTATCTTAATATCACTGCATAAATTGCTTTTATACATGATTTGATCCTACGATGCATCACTAAAATTATTTGAGTTTCTATACAGATCTTTTTTAAGTCTAAGCATGATTAAGGATTTTACATAATAAATGACAAACATTTTTCTCAGTTATGGACTTTTTTCACTGTGAATAGATAACTATTTTTGGCCTTGTATATAACTACCTGTTTTCCCATTATCATTACATCCTTCATATGTAATTGTTCACAGTTCATCACTTATATGATGAACTTTGACAATGCTATCAAGTTCTATAAAAAAGAGCCAAGAAAGCTTGGCTAACCTAGCCATCTTTTGTTCTTTAGTCAAACACTCTACTGCTTGGCTAAGGGAAGTTCACACTAGTCAAGGTTGGAAATGTGATTTGTACTCTCAACTTCAGTACATACACATGGGTAGTCTGAAGGGTTCTAACCATTTATCCATGATTTTATTTTTGTCGTGTCACAGTCAAGTCAGAGTTCTGTCCTTTAAAAAAAAGTACCACCAAATTTCACAGACAGCAAGGTTCAGTATACCAGTAATGTTTTATGTTAAATAATGCATTGATGGAAAAATCAAGCTTTTTTCTACTAATTATTTTCATATGGACTGTGTACAACCAAGACAAAAACAATATTGTGGATACATTTACTACTAAGGATAATTTAATAGGATATATCATGGATGCATGCCATAGGCCTCTATATCCATACCAGTTCATACAACACGTTACATTTCTAGGATACTTCCTGTATCAATGAGCAACATTTAAACTATAAATTGAAAGTTATGTTATTACGGTTACAGTATTCATCTAGACAGATTTCAAACTTAATGACATCATCCGAATCTATTACATCCTGAGGGAGACTGTTCCATAGATCAATAACACAGAAAGTAAAGAAATGCTTCCGTATATCAAGGTGAGGGTGTTGTTGAAAAAGTTTATGCGAATGCCCTCTCATTTACTACTCTTATCACATTGAAACATAATATTCCTAGTCATATAAAAGTTTTTTCTTTTCTACTGGGCATTATATAATAAGTTTCTTTTCATCAATGAGTGATACAGAATAAGGCCTATATAGTTAATGCTCACGAGCTTATTATGTCATGTTTTTAAATAAATATTGCTCAAAACCATTTGAAACTAAAAGAACAGATAAGCGCCATGACAACTCTTCCAATTATCCCCAAGATTTCCCTGCACCCATAGCCAACACCCGATTCCAAAAGACAAGTTTAAAGGGGCTGTCTGGTGATGGGACAAACAAACTCGGGTTGTACATGTGCAGTTGGTATCCGTCCAACGCCGGCATTGGCTACTCATTATAACCACGCACCACAGACATTGTCAATATATTCCCCATAGCCGACGCACCTTTCTTGTCAATCTTTGAACGTATCCTTGTGCCATAAATTGACCAAGATATGGCTATGAGGACAGTGTTGACACCGAGCCAAATAAGCAACAATAGCAGTATTTGGACCTGAACGTCGTCCGTATCTGTTATTGATGGATTGGCACTGAAAAAGTCGCTTATGTCGTTGCAGAAACCGAGAATGACACTCCACGATGAAGTCAGCAAAGTGTTGGCTTTAGATTCCAAATCATTCATTAGAATTGGCGATTCATCGAAACCACAAAAATATCAGTTTGGATAATAGACGAACTCTTACAATTGTTAGAGAGTACAAAACTACACTCAAAGATCCGAAATCAACGATACCTTCCACCATCACAGAGTCGCTAATGATTTACGAATGTAACTCCAACGCGGGAGGGGGGCAACTCTTACTGGTGATTAGTTTAAACAATATATCATGTGCTCATCTGTATATATATCCTAATAATTTTTTACTTGTAAATTCCATTCATTACATGATTTTAATGAATGACAGCCTGTGAGCAGTATTATTTGAGCCCAAAAGGGTTTTTCGTCAATGATATGTCTCATGTAGAAATTAATAACGACTCTATTCGTAGGGTTAATTTTTAGCGGAAGTAGCAGTTGAAGTTGTTTGGTGTGTTTTCTGTTGGACACTCTAGGTGCTACATCGTAAGTCAAGCCGAAACCTCGTATATTTTTGCTTACGCCAGAAATGCAAGTGAACTAACATTATAGCGACAATCACATGCAGGATGTGATTTTTTTTCAACATTTTACATAATTTTGTTATCGGAGACAAACTTAAGGTGTTGTTTTCCTGAAAACCCAACACGTCATCAATATTTACAGGTGACAGCATGCATGGCTACAGAAAACGTAGTTGTAATTAACTTCATGCAGAATGCAGTCATAATGTACCGGAATATCAGCCAAAAGATGTCGTTTATCTCGACTTGTGCTCTGCCATGAGTCGTCTATACGTCTTGATAGTTATCTAATATCATTCTGAAAAAATACAGGTACTAAAGTGAGAATCGATCAGTTTTACCTGCCGACCTTAAACATGAAGTTGGAAAGACCTGCTGTTTTGATTCACTTAATGACTGTTTTGTTCTTGGTGTCCAGTTTTTCATCTGTCTTTTGCGCTTATGCGGACCCTGTAAGACAAATGGATTCTCAAGATTCAGTTATTTTTCAAATGAAACGACAAACTGATGACACCCTTCCGAGGCAGATTCACATTGCTTTTGGTGTTGATCCGACAGACATAACAATAATGTGGGCGACAGAGAAAGAAGACCAGTCCATTGTCCAGTTCAATCCACAAAATCGACCAGGAAGCACTGTTTCAGTGGAAGGAAAATCAGTGGTATTTGAGAATAACACTAAAGGGTGGAAATATCTACATAGAGTAGCTTTACAAGGTTTGATTCCAGGCTGTCTATACTTCTACAATGTTGGTGGTGACATCCAGTCACAAAGGAGCAATTTTTTCAGCTTCAGAGTTCCATTCAAATATGAACCACACACTTACATGGTATTTGGTGATCTAGGAACTAAAAGTGCAAATCTTCAGTTCTTAGTTCATGAGTCTAGGGCAAGAAACTACAGTGCTATTTTTCATGTAGGGGACATTGCCTATGACTTGGGTAGTGATGGGGGTAAAGTTGGAGATAAATTCTTGAACTTGATCCAATTGATGTCTGCCAACACACCTTATATGACAGTTCCAGGAGACCATGACTTGTTCAAGGATGACGAATATAGGTACAGATTTTCTAATCCAAATGCTGACTGGCCAATGCAGATGGAGCAGTTATGGTACAGCATAAACATGGGGAAAACTCACTTTGTATGCATTTCTACGGAAGTGTTTTTCTCTGATGAAAGAAATGTAGAAAGGTTTATGAAGTGGTTACAACATGACCTTACAAAAGCCAATGACAATCGAAGTAACTTCCCATGGATTGTTGTAATGGCTCATCGTCCAATGTACTGTTCTGTGGATGACACAAGGGAAGATTGTAGAAAGCCAGATTCTGTTGTTAGACAGAATCTTGAAAGTGTTTACTCCCAGTTTGGTGTGGATGTTGTGTTCAGTGGACATAATCATATGTATGAGCGAACCTGGCCAACCTACCAGAACAAAGCTGTGGCCTTGAACTACATAAATCCAATGGCCCCAGTTCACATTATTGTTGGATCCCTAGGAAATCAATATCTGACGGAGTATACCTCAAAACCGGGTGGAGGATGGTCTGCATTTACAAAATCAGGCATGGAAATAGAAATATATGGACGCCTGACTGTATATAACTATACACACCTGTACTGGGAGGCCAGGTCAGCAATGGACAATAGCCTTGTGGATAGAATGTTGATAATTCAGAGAGTTCATGGACCATTCACAAATACTCAGGTTAACATTCCAGACCCATTGGGAGAGGCTGGTAAAGCCTGGAGAAATAGAAATGGAGCTACTGAAGATGATGGCTCACTGATCAACTTGAACTTTTTTGTAGTTTACGATGACTACAATACTCGAGTCACTGTGCTTTGTTTCACCTCCATCATCTTGCTGATTGGAGTTTGTTTGAGGAAAAAGATCATTAACTTTTTAAGATTTTGTTGTCTTAAAAATGATAAATGTAATAATAATATCACATGACTATATACGTGTTTAAGTCAGAAGAAAAAGTGTATTCAGTAATATAGATTGTTTTGGCTCATTTAGTGCCTTTATCCCACTTGAGTCTTTCACTTTTCTTTGGATTGTCATACAGGTTTATGTTCCTACAACCTCAATTGATTACAAGTAAAGTATACCAGAAATTTATCAGGCAAGCATCAGAATAATTGATTTTGAATTTTAGATTTGCTTGCCCTGCTGTAATTTTTAAGAATTTTCATTTCATTCAGTTGTGTTACTATACATATTGTTACAGTTATTTTGAAATAATTGGGATCATCACATACAGCATGTTGGTTTCTCCGTCCCATTATTTTGATATGATGTTCACTATTTCTAATTTTTTTATTTTGAGAAAAATTCATCTGTTTCTGATAAAAGTGAATGTTGAATCCTATGATAAATATGCATGTTGCATCAGGTGGTTTCCATTAATGATAAAAAGTTACTTCCCTTTATTAATATGTTCAACATGATGAGTATTTCACCTGAAAGAAGTGTCTTTTAGAAACTGTATTGTAATAATATTATATAATACATTTTTCTGTAGTTGCTCCCATCATTTACCCTGTAATTTAGAAGGAAAAGTGTCAGGTATGAATTTTTTAAATTTTGGTTCTAAATCAGTCCAGGTTCAGTGCCCAACAGGTCAGATGGTGCATTTTAACCAACTTTTATTGTTAAAAATATTATTCAGAATAGAAAAAGATAAGAAGTGTCTCCTTTTATGTCAAAGTATTATATAATTTGCATAAGTCATCCTTAAGAAGGAAAGAGAGTAGCATCTATATATATATCGTAAATGTACGTAGTTGATGTAAATAGTACCATTAATATGATAAATAGTTTGGCCTTATTCACAGCTTATTTTCCAGGAATGCATCATTTTCTTAATGCATAATTATTATAATCATGAATTTAATTTAGATTTTTTGATGTTACACATTATAAACATTCCATAACCAATACTATTTACTGGGATAAACAGATGAGCTGTGCAATATGTAAAACATATCCAAAATTTTATTGATACGAAGTTAGGTTTCCTTTTCATCCATTAGGTCACAACCCATTACAAAGTACGTAGTTATGATACAATATACCCAAAGGCTGTGCAGAATCTTTTCACATTTTAAACTTGTCAAATTTCATGGGTGGGATTTAGCTCAAAAATGTCTAGATGCTCTTTAGATAGTCCAAACCAAGGGTTGTTATTTTTAAGGTTGTCGCCAGCTTAAAAAGACACATTTTTAACTTCTCCAGTTGCACTGATGCTATTTGAAAAACAAAGAAAAAAAAAGTTTGAACTTCTTCTAAAATTCCACTACCACATATATAGACTAGAGGGATACACATTTTAGCTCAAACTTATCGTGAAAGATCCTAAGACAGTATTGTTAATTATTTGGGTTGGTCCGATGTCCAAGCTGGCCACAATATTTATGGTAGTCACCTTGGAAAAAACATATCACTAAACTTCTTACTTCTTCTCCACTGGTGCTGCTCAGAAATCAAGAAAATGTTGTGTTGTTGCTTTTTTCTTTAATTATTGTCACCGTCAGGACAGTTCTTGAATTTTTTGATAATCTGATGGAACCTGCTGAAATTGCACACTTGTTCTGATAACTAGACCAAGCACTACAGTTCTGTGTCTTTCTGTCATACTTGTTTTATTTTGTCATAAGGCACAATTTCTGACCATGTAAGTAATTGTTGAAGGGGTTTACAAATGGTTGTTATTACATGCACATAGATTTAGTGTGAAAAAACAATAGATTCCATGTTTTTCTTGCAAAGTTATGAAATTGAACATTAAAGTATATGTTACAATGTGTTATTTAGACTTATTACTGATAATATCACAAGAACTAACAAGATATTATATTATACGGTGAACCTTGTGGTTGTCAGCAATAAAAAATTTTTGTTATTATGTGTTAGTGTTGATAATTTCATCCCAACATCAACCAAATGTTTGACAGTCACCTGCTTTTAAACTGTTTGAAACATCACAGGCATTGGTCATCAGTCTTATTTTGTTTTGACAGATGATAAGGTGCAAATTACAGGTAACAAGATGTAGTTTTAAGAGTATAATAAAGTGAAAAAAATATTTATTTTAAGCTACAGACAATAACTGTACAGATAACAATGGCTACAGAGGTACAGCTGTTAACAATAGCTACAGGTAACAGAGGTACAGCTGTTAACAATACCTACAGGTACCTAGCTACAACTGTTAACAATAGCTACAGAAACCTAGGGTACAGCTGTTAACAATAGCTACTGGTACCCAAAGCTACAACTGTTAAAAATAGCTACAGGTACCCAAAGCTACAACTGTTAACAATAGCTACAGGTACCCAAAGCTACAGCTGTTAACAATAGCTACAGGTACCCAAAGCTACAACTGTTAACAATAGCTACAGAAACCTAGGGTACAGCTGTTAACAATAGCTACAGAAACCTAAGGTACAGCTGTTAACAATAGCTACAGGTACACAGAAGTACAGCTGTTAACAATAGCTACAGAAACCAAGGGTACAGCAGTTAACAATAGCTACAGGTACCCAGAGGTACAGCAGTTAACAATAGCTACAGGTACCCAGACGTACAGCTGTTAACAAAAGCTACAGGTACCCAGAGATACAGGAAAGATATGGGTTTAAACATGGAAACTAGCAACAGGAACCTGGATATGGACAATTTTACACTAGCCATGTACCTTCGGGTGTAGGCCCTATATATAAGTTCAAATGTGACACTAATCTTTTGACATGGAGGTTTTTGGTTATATAAATGTATCGATATTCTCCTCTCCTACTTTGGCTTGAGTTTAAAATAAAGCATAAACCTATATGTTTTGCATTGCACAAGTTATGATTAAAAGCACATGAATAATAATATCAGATATAATAACCAGAACAAAAACCTGCAGACTTACATAGAGAGTCTTCCATATTCATTACATAGACCTAGGCGGACTCAAAAGGAAATTTGAAATATAGCTGTTATTTTGTCACATTAAATATTACACAGAAATCATTTGCATTCTCTTTTGAAACATTACATTTACATGTTCCTAATAAACTAGTCTCTGCTTTGGGTGAAAAATTATGGCACTTTCATATAATGCATCAATGCTTACAAAACCGATTTTGACAGCTATATGGGCAGTTTCTTTCATTGTTAGCTCTTCATTTGTGACTTTTGTACAATTTTCAAGATTGCAGGTGGGAGTCAACACTGCTGGCAGACTACAAGTCCACAAGGTTTGATCTGCATGCCACGTTTTAATTCAATTGAAAAGTGGCACAACTCAGAACATCTACATGAACTTGATGTACTTCTCAAACTATCAGATTCACGAAAATTACGAAATTTACTGAATTATTGGGATAGTGCACCACCCCATCTAAATTTTGACATTTTTTTCAATCTCTTTGGAATTTCCTCATTCGCCTCTTAATAGGTTTAACATTTAGGCTCTTTGAAATCAATGACAAGACCTGGAAGGAGGAAACAGCTGTATGATGCATTTTAATTCTTTGTTTGACTCCGCTTTTATCCAAATTCGTATCAACTAATGCTATTAATTTCCGTGTCTTCAGTGCAATCTTTAAACAAGTTTATTAGATCTATAGAAAATGTGAAAACTCAAACAGTGCCGCTAAAGAACATCTGAATTAATATTATTGATATGTGGTCTCATATATCGGCACTACAGATTGTATTACCTTGAGACCTAAATTAGGGACAATTATAGACAGATGTTTGTTTTAAACACTATGACATATTTCGTTTTAATTTATTCTCTAGCTAGTCTTAATTTTGTATAAACCAGGATGTCAACGTTTCTTATCTTGGTCAGTGTTATGTTTGGCGAAAAAGGTTGAAAGCACTTCGAGTAGAGCGTTGATTTGACATTGATGTACACAGAAAAATGGCAGAGAAGAAGAAAGAGGCGGATCACCTGCCTACTTCAGAATCCGAACAAGATGATTTTATAGAGCCAGACCCTCCCGTAGACGTCAGTCAGGCTAATGCTGATACTTTTGTCAACATCGATTACGAAGATCTTGTCAATCCAGACTATGACAGTCATCCCAGCGGATACATCCATGATATCGTGAGGCAAGGTTCACACGACGGTGATGATGAGCAGAGAATGGGTGTTGGTTCTGCAAGCGACGTATCGACGGGAGAGGAGTCTAGTGAGGACCATACAGAGGTATAGTGCTAAATTAAACTAAAGTTACATATATGAACAGGACACAGACTGCTACAATGATGTACATACGTAGCCCTGTAGTTCTTGCAAAGACACGAGTCATGATAGAATGCCGGTATCAGGTACTACAGCATCGGCAAATCTGGCCATAAAGTCAAATCTGATTATACATATGTAGGAAAAATGCATATATATATAGGTGAAATTTTCTTCCTATGGTCGAATGACGCATTGGTAACAAACTTGCTTTTAACCCGGCGTTCTGCTTTCCCAGCATGTGTCTCACGTCATGACTGTATTAAATGAATGAAAAGATGTGTATAGCAACACAACCACACAGTTCCATACTAGATATGTAAGACCTTGTCCCCGGTCAGCTTCAAACAAAGATGAAGATAGGATGTATTTGGCAGTGTATACTGTATATGGAGTCCTGTCACGAGAAATTGAGGGATGAGCAGGGGAGAGTGGTGTGAGTGGTAGCTGCTTAGTGTAGAGAGTATAGGCCAGCCTTGAATGATTCAGGTCTGTCTGCATTAGTCTGAGAAGAGAGTAAACTATTCCAGTCTGCTATGTTTCTTGACATGGAAGATAAAAGTCTTTGGATGCCTAAATTAGATGATAGCAATGGTTTGGTCAAGTCCTGGGGTCAGACTTGGTTAAGTACTGGTTGGCTGGTATAGCTATAAAGTCTGGAGTACAGCAGTTGACCAACCTGACTTTCCTCCTACAATTCTGCAAGGAGCCCCACTTAACTAGTCAACCATTAACAAGAACAGTCTTGGAGTCTCCTACAATTCTGCAAGGAGCCCCACTTAACCAGTCAACCCTTAACAAGAACAGTCTTGGAGTTCTCAAATGAGAGTCATTATAGCTGTATCTGGCCACTCTTCCCTGGACAGCATACTCTGCCCTGGTAAGAACCCACATGAAGACTCATTGTTGTGATTTTGGACGATGCCAACACTAATAGTTTGAAATTTGTTTGATTTTTGCAAGCATGATGTATAAGTTGAATGAGCTCAATGATATGAATCCAATGATTTTTGGACTGACAGAAGATTTACTGTAGCAACATTTGTAGTTACTGATAGGTGGATGTGTTTTGCTTTACATTCCTCTTTCCTATTACACATGTAACAAGTGATAAAGACTTGCTGTCTTTTTTACTGAATTGGTTAAGTTGGTTATTTTTGGACAGTAATTAACTGTTTTCCATCCATGTCTCATTTGTCATTTAAACATATTACACTGTATTCCCTCCACGACATGGTTACTCATTATCACCAATTCCATATATTTTTTGGTGTGGGATATGTTGTATACCGTTCAGCCCCGAGGTAACCTTGTTGTTTAATAATAGTTTGCACTATCTCTTTGGGAAAGAGTAAAATTAAGAATTAATCAATTAGGATATCTAGATGTATGCAGGGAATTGGGTTTAAAATGGTAAAATGGGTCAAATTGAAATACAATATTCATTTGAAATTTTCAGATTTCTACAAAAGAGCTCTCCAAGGCTCTAGATGAAGTTTCTAAATTACAACATCCAGAAGTCAGTTCAGAAGATCTTGAAGAAATTGATGAAGTTGACACTCAAGAATGGCGACAACGAAAGAAACATGTGTTCATCCTAAGTGAAGCAGGCAAGCCTGTATATACCAGGTATCTAAATACTCTTTAGTAGTCATTTGTTAAGGATGTTCTTTACTGGACAGATAATGGAGATCATGAGAACACTTTGATTATTAGTTACTGGAGGATGGGAGATTTTTTAATACTGGACAGTCAGTGGAGAATGGGAGATTTCTATACCAGACAGTCAGTGGAGAATGAGAGATTTCTTTACTAGAGAGTTACTGGAGGATGGGAGATTTTTTATACTGGACAGTCGGTGGAGAATGGGAGATTTCTATACCAGACAGTCAGTGGAGAATGGGAGATTTCTATAATAGACAGTCAGTGGAGAATGGGAGATTTCTATAATAGACAGTCAGTGGAGAATGGGAGATTTATTTATAATAGACAGTCAGTGGAGAATGGGAGATTTCTATAATAGACAGTCAGTGGAGAATGGGAGATTTTTATAATAGACAGTCAGTGGAGGATGGGAGATTTCTATAATAGACAGTCAGTGGAGGATGGGAGATTTCTATAATAGACAGTCAGTGGAGAATGGGAGATTTCTATAATAGACAGTCAGTGGAGAATGGGAGATTTCTATAATAGACAGTCAGTGGAGAATGGGAGATTTCTATAATAGACAGTCAGTGGAGAATGGGAGATTTCTATAATAGACAGTCAGTGGAGAATGGGAGATTTCTATAATAGACAGTCAGTGGAGAATGGGAGATTTCTATACCAGACAGTCAGTGGAGAATGGGTGATTTCTATAATAGACAGTCAGTGGAGAATGGGAGATTTCTATACCAGACAGTCAGTGGAAAATGGGAGATTTCTATAATAGACAGTCAGTGGAGAATGGGAGATTTCTATAATAGACAGTCAGTGGAGAATGGGAGATTTCTATAATAGACAGTCAGTGGAGAATGGGAGATTTCTATACCAGACAGTCAGTGGAGAATGGGAGATTTCTATAATAGACAGTCAGTGGAGAATGGGAGATTTCTATAATAGACAGTCAGTGGAGAATGGGAGATTTCTATAATAGACAGTCAGTGGAGAATGGGAGATTTCTATAATAGACAGTCAGTGGAGAATGGGAGATTTATATAATAGACAGTCAGTGGAGAATGGGAGATTTCTATAATAGACAGACAGTAGAGGATGGGAGATTTCTATAATAGACAGTCAGTGGAGAATGGGAGATTTCTATAATAGACAGTCAGTGGAGAATGGGAGATTTCTATACCAGACAGTCAGTGGAGAATGGGAGATTAGACAGTCAGTGGAGAATAATTTTTTACCAGACAGTCAGTGGAGAATAGACAGTCAGTGGAGAATGGGAGATTTCTTTAATAGACAGTCAGTGGAGAATGGGAGATTTCTATAATAGACAGTCAGTGGAGAATGGGAGATTTCTATAATAGACAGTCAGTGGAGAATGGGAGATTTCTATAATAGACAGTCAGTGGAGAATGGGAGATTTCTATAATAGACAGTCAGTGGAGAATGGGAGATTTCTATAATAGACAGTCAGTGGAGAATGGGAGATTTATTTATACTTGACAGTCAGTGGAGAATGGGAGATTTCTATAATAGACAGTCAGTGGAGAATGGGAGATTTCTATAATAGACAGTCAGTGGAGAATGGGAGATTTCTATAATAGACAGTCAGTGGAGAATGGGAGATTTCTATAATAGACAGTCAGTGGAGAATGGGAGATTTCTATAATAGACAGTCAGTGGAGAATGGGAGATTTTTATAATAGACAGTCAGTGGAGAATGGGAGATTTCTATAATAGACAGTCAGTGGAGAATGGGAGATTTCTATAATAGACAGTCAGTGGAGAATGGGAGATTTCTATAATAGACAGTCAGTGGAGAATGGGAGATTTCTATAATAGACAGTCAGTGGAGAATGGGAGATTTCTATAATAGACAGTCAGTGGAGAATGGGAGATTTCTATAATAGACAGTCAGTGGAGAATGGGAGATTTCTATAATAGACAGTCAGTGGAGAATGGGAGATTTCTATAATAGACAGTCAGTGGAGAATGGGAGATTTCTATAATAGACAGTCAGTGGAGAATGGGAGATTTCTATAATAGACAGTCAGTGGAGGATGGGAGATTTCTATAATAGACAGTCAGTGGAGAATGGGAGATTTCTATAATAGACAGTCAGTGGAGAATGGACAGTCAGTGGAGAATGGTAGATTTCTATAATAGACAGTCAGTGGAGAATGGGAGATTTAGACAGTCAGTATAATAGACAGTCAGTGGAGAATGGGAGATTTCAGTGGAGAATGGGAGATTTTTATAATAGACAGTCAGTGGAGAATGGGTGATTTCTATAATAGACAGTCAGTGGAGAATGGGAGATTTCTATAATAGACAGTCAGTGGAGAATGGGAGATTTCTATAATAGACAGTCAGTGGAGGATGGGAGATTTTTATAATAGACAGTCAGTGGAGAATGGGAGATTTTTATAATAGACAGTCAGTGGAGAATGGGAGATTTCTATAATAGACAGTCAGTGGAGAATGGGAGATTTTTATAATAGACAGTCAGTGGAGGATGGGAGATTTATTTATACTGGACAGTCAGTGGAGAATGGGAGATTTCTATAATAGACAGTCAGTGGAGAATGGGAGATTTCTATAATAGACAGTCAGTGGAGAATGGGAGATTTCTATAATAGACAGTCAGTGGAGGATGGGAGATTTTTATAATAGACAGTCAGTGGAGGATGGGAGATTTTTATAATAGACAGTCAGTGGAGAATGGGAGATTTCTATAATAGACAGTCAGTGGAGAATGGGAGATTTCTATAATAGACAGTCAGTGGAGAATGGGAGATTTCTATAATAGACAGTCAGTGGAGGATGGGAGATGGGAGATTTCTATAATAGACAGTCAGTGGAGAATGGGAGATTTCTATAATAGACAGTCAGTGGAGAATGGGAGATTTTTATAACAGACAGTAAGTGGAGAATGGGAGATTTCTATAACAGACAGTCAGTGGAGAATGGGAGATTTCTATAATAGACAGTCAGTGGAGGATGGGAGATTTCTATAATAGACAGACAGTAGAGGATGGGAGATTTTTATATTAGACAGTCAGTGGAGAATGAGAGATTTCTATACCAGAAAGTCAGTGGAGAATGAGAGATTTCTATAACAGACAGTCAGTGGAGAATGGGAGATTTCTATAATAGACAGTCAGTGGAGAATGGGAGATTTTTATAACAGACAGTAAGTGGAGAATGAGAGATTTCTATAACAGACAGTAAGTGGAGAATGAGAGATTTCTATAACAGACAGTCAGTGGAGAATGGGAGAAAGCTTTATGTTTTAGATAGTGATTGGTGAATACTTTTTGTTAAAATTCACAATAAAAATGTGATGGATAATTTTACATATACTTTTGATGTTATTGTTAATCTATTGGAGTATCTCTCAAGACTCTAATGTTTGAATGTTTTGTTATATCAGGTGTGTATCACCTGTTATAGCAGTAAGTAAATGATATTTACATGATAAGTAAAATGTTCCTATCAGTTCAATACATAAGAAAAGTGAATTGACAGCATTTCAATGTGGTCATTAATATATGATTAATTTCTGTTCTTCAGGTTTGGAAATGAGGACAAGTTGGTGACAGTAATGGGGGTCATGTCAGCACTAGTTTCGTTTGTTAATGATTCCAAAGACTTGGTGCGATTTATTGTGGCTGGTGATCATAAATTTGTCTTCCTTGTTAGAGAACACTTAATTCTAGTTTGTGTGTCTCATGGTGCAGAGTCAGCTCAGCAACTCCTCCTTCATCTGTCTTACGTGTATAATCAAATTCTCAGTGTGCTCACATTTAGCACACTACATAGAATATTCAAACAGAGAAGAAACTATGATTTACGAAGACTTTTGACTGGTGCGGAAAAGTTTTTGGACAATTTGTTAAACATGATGGACACAGAACCTGGAATGTTGTTAGGAGCTGTTCGTTGTTTACCTTTAGACAGCCAAGTGCGGGACAACATAGCTCAGGCCATTGTTCAGAATGCCAAAGTTAAGGTAAGACTGGCAGTTATGACAGGGCAGAAAAACAGTTACAGTCTCAATGCTGGCTACTTCTTTACTGTGACTCTGTGTGCACTGATGCATGATAGTATGAAAGCATAATGCTTTCAGCAGTAAATCAGATTGTGATTCAGAACATAGGTACCTACTACAGGTAAAGAACTGAAGATATTTACTCTATATAAACCTACATGTATGATTCTGGTGAAAATACAAATCTTCACTATATACTACATAACATAAATTGAAGGGCCATATTTCAATCGGATACAAGTTCACTGTTTCAACACCTTAAGGTGAGGCAAGGTACATGTTAAATATCACTTTTTCATTGAAGCCTTACAGTTCCCAAGAAGATGTTGCTTAAAAAAGTTAGGAAAGATGCACAATTGTAAACACACTATGCAGCTTGTATTGAATTCTCTTTTATGTCATGTAAGCACCTTAACCAAAAAATAATGGTCAGTGAGAAATCATAACAAAAAGAATTGGAAGAATATAGGAGTTAGATAAAGGTAATTAATGTCATTTGTGTCACAGCAGTTTTATTTTTGTAACCAAATTCATTGATTTGTTGTTTGTCCTCAATATCTGTTCACAGTGTTTTATGCTCATGACAGGACTTGGTGTGTTTTATCCTATGTACAGGACTTGGTGTGTTATATCCTATGTACAGGACTTGGTGTGTTATATCCTATGTACAGGACTTGGTGTGTTATATCCTATGTACAGGACTTGGTGTGTTATATCCTATGTAAAGGACTTGGTGTGTTATATCCTATGTACAGGACTTGGTGTGTTATATCCTATGTACAGGACTTGGTGTGTTATATCCTATGTACAGGACTTGGTGTGTTATATCCTATGTACAGGACTTGGTGTGTTATATCCTATGTACAGGACTTGGTGTGTACTTGGTGTGTTATATCCTATGACTTGGTGTGGTGTGTTATATCCTATGTACAGGACTTGGTGTGTTATATCCTATGTACAGGACTTGGTGTGTTATATCCTATGTACAGGACTTGGTGTGTTATATCCTATGTACAGGACTTGGTGTGTTATATCCTATGTACAGGACTTGGGTGTGTTATATCCTATGTAGAGGACTTGGTGTGTTATATCCTATGTACAGGACTTGGTGTGCTATATCCTATGTACAGGACTTGGTGTGTTATATCCTATGTACAGGACTTGGTGTGTTATATCCTATGTACAGGACTTGGTGTGTTATATCCTATGTACAGGACTTGGTGTGTTATATCTTATGTACAGGACTTGGTGTGTACAGGACTTGGTGTGTTATATCCTATGTACAGGACTTGGTGTGTTATATCCTATGTACAGGACTTGGTGTGTTTTATCCTATGTGTGTTTGTCATTTATATCTGTTTTATCCTCCTGACAGGATTTGGTGTTTGCCCTCATTTTAGCCAACAACCAGCTTGTGACTCTGGTGAGGATGAAAAAATACTTCCTACATCCAATGGATCTTCACCTTATCATCAATCTAGTTAATGCGTCCGAATCTTTCAAGGCAGCAGAGTCTTGGACGCCGATTTGTTTACCCAAGTTTGACTCCAGGTTTGTTGACTGCTTTTTAGGCAATATTGTCACAGCCTTTGGAACTAGCTGTTACTATCTATCCTTGCTTTCTGATTGGTGGAAATATTCCAACAAATTATCAGCAAAACCTATTGGCAGTCATTTGCCATAAACAATACCACCGACAGTACTGAATTGATCATTGTACGTTGTATATTACATGTATACAAGAAATAATTAAATTTTCTAAACAAAAAATAACCAATAACTAACTTTTCTAAACAAAGTACATACTACTAGTACATGTATTACACTTAGAGAGAACAAGGATTATTTTTGGTCATGTTTACATTTATACTGTAAGTAATCTATCTTTAGTCATACGACAATGTCAGTTATGTCCAGGTTATGATATCATGTTTTATATTACAATTCCTTTGTATTGATTAATTATAGTGGTTTCCTACAAGCTCACATCTCTTATCTGGATGACCGCTGTGAAGCCTGTCTTTTACTTTTATCTGTTGACCGAGAGTCTTTCTTCACACTGTCAGAGTGCAGGAACAAAATCAAAGATGTAAGAAATTTTCTATGTCTATTTCAGTATGTAGAGGATCCTACACGAGTGTTGGTTTAATATGGTGTTTATCAAACAGTTCAGTAATGTAAGGCTTGTGATATATCAACTTATTGAATTTATTACATAATATAACCTGAATTTCTGAAAAACAAGAAAAAAATGAAAAATTTATATCCCAATGACAGACTTATTTGAAGCACTACCGAGTCAAACATGTGACTTCATCAACACATGATTTATTTATGATATCACAATAGTGTTAATACACCTTACAATGTTTATGACATGACCATATGACACAACACGCCAGTTGTGTATGTATGTCCAGTTTTTTAATTTAAACAAATACTTTTCTTTAATAATTAAATGTGATGACAGGAAGCAAGACATTATATTTTCTCTCATTTCTGCCAATGTGATACCAGTCTGTCCAGACAATACACCCAGATTTACTGGTCATGTATTACACACCCACCCATGCAATACAGGCATACACATGTAGAAATATGACAGGTCCAACTGACATCATCACCTGATACAATGTATACACATTCGTGTACAATAGTTATTTGCAGTGACATTTTATATTTTGTTTTAATTTTCTTGGATAAACATTGTTTGCCAGATCTAAGTATGGAGAATTCATTTGTTGATTAAATGTATTATAAAAATACAATTTTTATGTAGCATGGCATTCTTGGTGGCACATTGTATACATCTGAAGCTCACATTTTTCAATATCTAATCATTAGAAATGAGAGAAAAATACTCCTACATATATCGTGGTAAGGATGGATTATTTTAACTTTGAAGTCACAAAATGTGATAAAACTATCGGCAAAGCTACAAGTTTTAAGACACTTTATGACCCCTTGGTTGGAATATCCCTATCCTACACCCAGACACATGACAGAATCTGCTAATACACATACTGAGATGGAACGTTTAGTTAGGTGATAATCAAGAATATCAGGGGAAGGCTAATTATATAGAGTAGTGGTTTACTCCAACATTCACCAGGAGTTTTAATTGCTATAAATATTATTTTAACCAGCGGTTAGTAAAGTACAACGCCCTCAAGGCCATCAGTGATTCCTTGATGAAGACAAGTTACAGTATACAGCAGTGTGGAATATCAGACTTACGACATTTTCTATACAAGTCCCGACACATGGCACAGTTCACAAGTCCAGAGCTGGAGGCACCATACTTGTCAGAGGTGGAACAGGAACGCCTGTATGGGCTGTACTTCTATCTTCACCACCGAATACACACGTCAGCCCGGCCACTTAAAATACTCTACACTGTTGGCCCACATGAGACTCTCCTTGGCTGGGTAATATTCAACTCCTCTCACATAATGATGTTTAATAGACATTTTTTCATTAATGGTTATGGTAAGGTCATTAATTTTCCTGGTGGATTTATTTTCATTGAATTCTTTGGTATTCTTAATCCAGAAATTTAGATGTCCACGAAAATGATAACCAGATGAAAATTGACATGTGTTATAGTACAAGTTAATTTTGTGTTCAAGATCTATCCACAAAAAGAAGTGCCATGAAAATGTATATCTGGAGAACCAGAAAAATTTCAGCTCCACGAAAATATGTGATCTTACAGTATAAAATTATTATAAGTCCATTTCAGTTTGATTGATATGGTATAATTTTTACAGCATTTAAGGTAAAAAGGATACAGAAAAATATATTCCAAGCCCTTTTTCTTTAAAAACGCTTTGAAAATTCTGAATTTGATATAACAATCCAGGTGTACAAAGTATGTAACTTTGTTCATTGTACTAATCCAACGAAAAATTTTGAACTTTCGAGATTATGACGAAAAACCTCTGAGTGATGGAATTGTACATCCTTAATAGACACAAAGCTTTGTATAAAAGGCACAACACATTAGTTAGTTTACTAAGTTGTCTCAAGATTTACAAGATATAATGAGTTTTAAATGTTTGATATGCAGGTCACCCAGAGTTTTGAACTGTATGCAGTATTTGGACCACTAGTGACCAAAGTGGCAGCTATTCAAGCCATCAACAAGCTGTTACGCTGGGTGAAGAGGGAGGAAGATCGTCTCTTTATAGCAAACCATGTCACATTTTGACAAGTTTAATAAAGCTTACTGTGATATAAAGTTTTTAAAAATGGTACAAAGGATAAGATGATACAATGCCAGTATATTAGTGTCACGAGAATTCATCACTGCCAGTACTGGTTCTGTCACATCCAATATTCTATTCTACAAAGTCATGGAGTAACTTTTTCAGGTCTCTTTACATTAACTGCAGACACCTTCTTCAATGTCTAGATCATTGTGACAGTGACCAGAGAAATGACACATAGTGTAGTAGATAGATACACAAATTAATCAGATAAAGCCTTGTAACGTGCCCTGCAATATCATTAGTGACTTTCATCAAACAACATTTTACTGATGTGTCGTGGTCATATGATTTTTTGAAAAAAATGTAACATTTGTACTCCAAAGAAGATAAGAAGTTGAGTATGAAGACTTTTTGTTGTGTACATCCAGATTATGTTATAGTGCTATAGTAATAGAGATAATTCTCTGTAGAACATTGGTGATTTTATGACGAAGGGGGAGAATATAGGTCAAGGTCACTATTATAATCAGAAAAAAATAAACATCAAGCAACAATTTGGAAATAGGTTTGGTTATTCAGGGATTGTTTTCCCAAACAGGTCTCTGTTGGTAATTTTGATAAAGGTCCACATTCCTACCTTTACAATATGTAGAAAATCGTGGTTCTACTCATTTTGTTCTCATGATTCCACATTTATTTGATCACCATTGCTGTCGTCTTATTTTCTGTCGGCCTGCCACCACTCATTCAACCCTTAGCTTTCGGATTAAACCTAACACCTAATGTCAAGGTCATACATTCAATGTCAAAGGTGAATCTTTACACAAAATTGCAAAGAAACTGTGCATTCTGCAAGATCAAGCTTTAAAGCGTCGACAAAATTTCCGGGACATCAGCAATTAATCTAGATGACATTTTCCATAAACCAGTAGAGTATCGGGTCATATATTGAAGATGAAGGTCATGGCTTGTTTAAGATACTAGTTACATCACCATTACTTATGAAAGAAATGTAAGCCACCAAGCCAGCTTGCACTGTGACGTCGCCAGCATATTCAGATTTGTGGTTTCGCTAATATAATGTGTATCAAACTCCAAAGCTATATTATCGATTTAGGCAGGTGCTTAGGTATTGTAAATATTGTGGCTTTTCTATGGTTCCAATTTCTGTGGGTTTACCAAAATCAAGTCCTGAAATGGTCGATGATTTCCTTTATTAATTATATTTACAGTTTAAAGATAGAGCCCCTTCAGCATTAACAACCTTGATGATGTTATCTCTACAAATCTTGTTAATGTTTCTGTCTCTTCTATGATTGTATTAAAATAAATAAAATATAGATATATTATAGAGTACAGTAAATGCAATCAAATTTAAGTAAGTCCATTCATATCTGTTGGTGCCTACCATTCTTATTTCCTAGATTTGTTCACAATTTTGTCAACATGAACAAAATCATCGATAAAAAATAACATGGATTTACTTCTTCAAAATCATGGATGTCTTGTCGCTGTTAGGTACAACAATAGTATAGGGAACAAGAAAGGTGCTCAGACCACTCCAAACTTTTGTCCTATTGTTTTTCACTGGTGGAGAGATCTATTTGGTACTACAGGAACTCCAATCAGTGGTACTAGCAACTTCATCAACTATTACTGTAGATTAACATGGTGGATGTTGGTGATATTACAAATCTCTTATCACTTACCTTAAAGTTGTATAGGTGATATGTCTGCAGATTGATACAGTCAAGAGTCATTTGGTGCATGAGTTTTTATAGCATGTGGTTTTTAAGCTTTCAATGTCGGTCAGATTGTCTTTATTGTCGATATGAATGTAATGTGGGGGTAAATAGAATGGACATCATGATTATCTGTCTAAAACCCAGATTGCATTCAAAGTTACAAGAAATACAGTCTGACAAACATTCAGTGGTACATTTCAGGTATTATTTAAAACATAATCACAACTTTTGTCTGATTTAAGATTGTTTTTCTCATTTTATGTTTACAAACTGGAAAAATTATTTTAAAATCATTATCAGCAATGTAATTAACATAAAGCTATAATGCATGTTTTCTGAGGTGACATGCAAAAACATTGATGTAGTGTCTGTCAACATGGCGCCAAAATGACGTTATGTTATTGTCCCCTGGTCCAGACTGCATTCATACTCCAAAAAATACAATCCTGCTTAACATCAAGTTTACAGGAGGCCATCATACAAAATGTATATATAAAGCAATGAATGCTATATCTCCATCTGTACTCATCTAATCTCAAATTGTCCTGATCTTAATCATAATATTCACACCTACAATGTTTTCAAATTTCAGTTTTAAACAATGTGGGCTGAAGTGTATTGGAAATCAGGGGCTTTTGTCCTAGTAAAATATTAACTTATTGAAAAGTTATTTATTAATGTATGAAATATTATATTTGTATTGTCACATGAAAAACAATCTATATTAAAATGTGATTAACATTACACAGTTATTTTTTTGTTTTATTTATGATTTTAAACTGGAGAGAAGAGGAGATTAGTGATGTGTTTCTGGAGTACCATGGTGGATGATTCAGTGATTTCACTCTCATAAAAATCATTATCTTGTTACCCTTACAGCTTTAATGACAAACAACATTTATATGACACTGACAGTCAGTTATATTGGACATAATAACCAAAAAGAGGACACAAATGGTCTCATGGACATCTGTTTAAGTATAATCTTACCTCTACATTTTAACACTCAACACTGGTCAATAGGAGCTTGCTATGAAAGTTTTCAATCCATTTTCTCTTGACTGGTCATATCAGACACCATGGACCAATCACAGGACACATGACTGGTCATATCAGACACCATGGACCAATCACAGGACACCAATGACTGGTCATATCAGACACCACCGACCAATCACAGGACACCAATTACTGGTCATTTTGACACCATGGACCAATCACAGGATATCAATGACTGGTCATATCAGACACCATGGACCAATCACAGGACACATGACTGGTCATATCAGACACCATGGACCAATCGCAGGACATCAATGATTGGTCATATCAGACACCACGGACTAATCACAGGACACCAATGACTGGTCATATCAGACACCACCGACCAATCACAGGACACCAATGACTGGTCATATCAGACACCACCGACCAATCACAGGACACCAATTACTGGTCATTTTGACACCATGGACCAATCACAGGACATCAATGACTGGTCATATCAGACACCAAGGACCAATCACAAGACACCAATTACTGGTCATTAAGACACCATGGACTAATCAAAGAACACCAATGACTGGTCATATCAGACACCATGGACCAATCACAGGACACCAATTACTGGTCATTTAGACACCATGGGCCAATCACAGGTCAACAATGACTGGTCATATCAGACACCATGGACCAATCACAGGACATCAATGACTGGTCATATCAGACACCATGGGCCAATCACAGGTCAACAATGACTGGTCATATCAGACACCACAGACCAATCATAGAACACCAATGACTAGTCATATCAGACACCATGGACCAATCACAGGACACCAATGACTGGTCATATCATACACCATGGACCAATCACAGGACACATGACTGGTCATATCATACACCATGGACCAATCACAGAACACCAATGACTGGTCATATCATACACCATGGACCAATCACAGGACACATGACTGGTCATATCATACACCATGGACCAATCACAGGACACCAATGACTGGTCGTATCAGACACCATGGACCAATCACAGGACACCAATGACTGGTCATATCCGACACCATGGACCAATCACAGGACATCAATGACTGGTCATATCCGACACCATGGACCAATCACAGGACACCGATGATCGGTCATATCAGACACCAAGGACCAATCACAGGACACCGATGACTGGTCATATCAGACACCACTGTCCAATAACAAGATAGTAATGGCTTTTCAAAACCTAAGAAAGGTCTATAAATCACAAGATATCTTATTGTTGAATGATGTCTCAAGACACTGAGTGGATAATGTGTCTGTCTTCAGGAACCAGCAACTCACTTGAGAAAGCAAAAAAAAAAAAAACAGGAGCAAATAAATGAAACTTTGACTCCACATTTTTATTGATAAACACAATGTAAAGACTAGTAAGGGTACACATGTGTGTTCTGTACCTAATCCTCCACCAATGTGATCATTTTGTTTAGAAACATGTCCCTCAAGTTTGTTCCATCAGTAATCAGCAAGCAACAATATAAGGTTTCTTGGTAAGCAACATTAATATGGAACAGCGATCAACCAATACCCAAATAAATGTTTAATAATCCTACAGTTGTGATAAAAAAAAAATATGTTTGGTGGGCACAGAAAGTAACAAAGACTAGAGTCAAATTGTAAACAACAGACAGTGTAGCTAGAGTGATAAGCATTTATACACAGCACTAAACAATCACGGACAGTACTGAAATGAAACAATTCCTGAAAGAAATACCCTTCAACCAAGAGAAACATCTAACAGACATATTTCGGTCAATATCATGCCTACACAAACAGCCAACTTGTAATTTTGTCTTTGACTGGATTTTCCTAAAATAAAAATAACAACCAATGACCTGACAGCTCTGTCTGATGATTATTCCTAAAACTGCCAGCTACATTATTGACTTTTGACCGGGAAATTTCTCGTGTAGAGCAATAAAAAAGCATCATCAAATCATTTTTAACACGTCAATCAAAATAAATAGGTCTGATTCTGAAAAGTTATCTTTTTTATAAATATATTTTGTTGACAAATAATTAGTATACATAGAATAATACTTATTTACAATGGTGTGGTTAACATTAACAGATAAACTTAATCTTCTGATAACAATGAATATGTCGTTTTACAACAAATCAATGGCATACTGTATAAAATGAAATATTTGTTGTGTGGGAATTTTTGTGGTTTTCATGGCTCCAAAAGTAGAACTTCATGAAGAAAACTTTGGACAAAATGAAATTTGTATACAATCATGTCATGTTCACAAAAATGTTTAACCTTTAAAAAATGTGTTGAGTTTAAACCACAAAAGTAAGAACCCACAAACCGTTCATGTTGCACAATATACTGTCCTATTTATTTATTTAATAATACCGGTAAATAAATTTCCTAATATGGCTATCACATAATAAACCATTTATGAAAATGGCAGTTCCGTCTATACCAGATTTCCCAGAAATTCCAGTCATTTCACAGTGACTATCCATTATCAATGATCTAACTTTTGTCCTGCACCACTTCACATATGGCAGATATTTGTGTGTATCTCATAAACAAACATCCAGGAGTGAAGCAAGCATCTGTTTGCTTCAGACATACAAAGTATATATAACAATACAAACGGCAGTACCAAAAACTGAAACATGTACAGATGGAAAATCAGTCTTTAACACAACATTTAAACTTTACAAGAACACTGGGAGAGATAGCACTAAAGGACGTTTATCCTCAATACTCAAGAGGTTACACTCGCTATCACACTCAGCAACCTGGAATACTTCATGGCAAAAGTCTCCATGTACAACACCTTGTGGATAAGGCTAGGTTGATCCTTTTACTTAGAGCAAACGACTCTGGAGGTCACATAACAGTATGTTGTACAGACTGAAGTGTGGTGTCACTCCTTTGTAATCTTCTTAAGAGCATATCACTCTATCATTTGTCAGTTTCTCCTCAAACCAAGTCTAGACAAATCAAATTACTTTGCTGGTACCTTCATTTTTGCCATGAAATGTTCCAGAGTAGCAGAGAGCAAGTGAGCATGATCCCTTAATTATCAAGGAATACCTTATAACAATGTAAATATTGACTAACGTTTTCTTTCTATAAAAAATCAACAAAGATGACACAACACCATCTTATAGATGGAAGATTGTAGCTACTTATCTCTTCATACCCACATACATTGTATCTACAACATCAACATAAGGACACTTTTTGCTGGTTGATAGATATGTAAAATTAACAATATATATATGTGTAGCTTCTGGTAGCCTTAATTTTTCAGATCCCAGACAGTATTACAGGTGTAGAAAAGTGTGCTGGGTTGTTGATCTAATGTTTCAGTAAGGATACAAGTATAAGGTTATGTATTATATAAACAATGTTGCTGTACTGATCTATGGGAAGGTCTCCTAACACTTGTTATAATGCTGAGGACACTTTTCACACATACATCGTTTATTTTTTATTATACATTGTACTTGCATTATTTCTATAATGAATTTGACATTGTCAATTTCCATAAAAAGAAACCTGAAGCCACAGTAGATCCATATACAAATGAATTCTTCATTCAACTTCATCATTTAACTCCAACTTGTAATCATGGTTTCATCATTTAACTCCAACTTGTAGTCATGGTTTCATCATTTAACTCCAACTTGTAATCATGGTTTCATCATTTAGCTCCAACTTGTAGTCATGGTTTCATCATTTAACTCCAACTTGTAGTCATGGCTTCATCATTTAACTCCAACTTGTAATCATGGCTTCATCATTTAATTCCAACTTGTAATCATGGTTTCATCATTTAACTCCAACTTGTAGTCATGTTTTCATCATTTAACTCCAACTTGTAGTCATGGTTTCATCATTTAATTCCAACTTGTAATCATGGTTTCATCATTTAACTCCAACTTGTAATCATGATTTCATCATTTAATTCCAACTTGTAATCATGGCTTCATCATTTAATTCCAACTTGCAGTCATGGCTTCATCTCCAACTTGTAAGCATTGCTTCAATATTTTTCTGAGCTCCACGCTCAAACCTTATAAAAATGGCTCTAGTCTTCTAAAGCATTCACTTTGATATTGTCTGCCTAGTAAACTACAGCAGGTTTATTTTGTGGCTTCATTCCGACACTCATCCTTTTTTTATTGTTGCTCTTTTTTACACCAGACACAAAAGTTTGGGGCACAGAACGAAGGCTTTTGATCTGATGCCTGATCAATCTCTCAGAATTTTCCTCCAATGAATGACAACAAATCAAGCATATCAATAAATTGGTGTGGTGTTTTATTCTTATTTCAAAATGTTGAGTCTCATTTAAAAAGACAAACATTCAATTTCACTCTAACTGCAGGTGTTATCAAAAAACTTCATATTTGGCAGAAAAAACCTTTCAATTATCTTTGCCAACATATCGAGTCACTTCTAATTAATTTTGAGTTAAACTAATCTTTCAGCTAATCCTTCAACCACTCCAACAAGAGGACATTTCAGAATTTCTAACATCCAAATGCAATAATAGTTCATATGGGACAAAAGAAACATTCCTGAACACCTCATAAAAAAGCTTGGAAAAGAAAACATCCCTGATTCAGTATTATGTTCTCCTTTTTTTAACTTATTTAAACTCTTCCATCAAAGAAATTAGAATGTAAACTTTCCATGTAAGTACATGTAAAAATAACATAGTAAATGTTTTACAGTTGGTTCAGGAAGTTGACCAGAGGTTATGGGGTTTGAATGTGATACAAGTGTAATGTTCAAACATCAACATACCATAAAACAATAACCATTACGAGAATGACAAACCTTCAGTCAGTGTAAATGGCACATCATTTGAACTTAAACATTGTTCACAAAACCAAGAATCTTCCAACAACCTAAACATAACAGCCTTGATATGATATGCCTATGGTTCATACTTTTGCAGCACATAATGACAAGTTAGTCAAACTGAACACATCAATCCCAATACACCTCAGTCCATAACAAAGGCTGACAACAACAGACCACTACAGATTATCAATTTCCAGGCCCTGCCGGCAAAAGACCTTTTTATATATCTTAAATGCAACAAAAATATCTATACAATAATTGTCCTGTAAAGTATCTGCATACTGTAGTGACCTACTTTTAATACACCTATACAACTATTGTCCTGTAAAGTACCTGTACTGTAGTGACCTACTTTTAATACACCTATACAATTATTTTCCAGTTAAGTACCTGCGTACTGTAGTGACCTACTTTTAATACACCTATACAATCATTATCCTGTAAAGTACCTGTACTGTAGTGACCTACTTTTAATACACCTATACAACTATTGTCCTGTAAAGTACCTGTACTGTAGTGACCTACTTTTAATACACCTATACAATTATTTTCCAGTTAAGTACCTGCGTACTGTAGTGACCTACTTTTAATACACCTATACAATAATTGTCCTGTAAAGTACCTGCATACTGTAGTGACCTACTTTTAATACACCTATACAATTATTGTCCTGTAAAGTACCTGCATACTGTAGTGACCTACTTTTAATACACCTATACAATTATTTTCCAGTTAAGTACCTGCGTACTGTAGTGACCTACTTTTAATACACCTATACAATTATTGTCCTGTAAAGTACTTGCATACTGTAGTGACCTACTTTTAATACACCTATACAATCATTATCCTGTAAAGTACCTGTACTGTAGTGACCTACTTTTAATACACCTATACAATTATTTTCCAGTTAAGTACCTGCGTACTGTAGTGACCTACTTTTAATACACCTATACAATTATTGTCCTGTAAAGTACTTGCATACTGTAGTGACCTACTTTTAATACACCTATACAATTATTGTCCTGTAAAGTACTTGCATACTGTAGTGACCTACTTTTAATACACCTATACAATTATTTTCCAGTTAAGTACCTGCGTACTGTAGTGACCTACTTTTAATACACCTATACAATTATTGTCCTGTAAAGTACTTGCATACTGTAGTGACCTACTTTTAATACACCTATACAATTATTGTCCTGTAAAGTACTTGCATACTGTAGTGACCTACTTTTAATACACCTATACAATCATTATCCTGTAAAGTACCTGTACTGTAGTGACCTACTTTTAATACACCTATACAATAATTGTCCTGTAAAGTACATGTACTGTAGTGACCTACTTTTAATACACCTATACAATATTTGTCCTGTAAAGTACATGTACTGTAGTGACTCACTTATAATACACCTATACAATTATTTTCCAGTTAAGTACCTGCGTACTGTAGTGACCTACTTTTAATACACCTATACAATTATTGTCCTGTAAAGTACTTGCATACTGTAGTGACCTACTTTTAATACACCTATACAATTATTGTCCTGTAAAGTACTTGCATACTGTAGTGACCTACTTTTAATACACCTATACAATTATTGTCCTGTAAAGTACTTGCATACTGTAGTGACCTACTTTTAATACACCTATACAATTATTGTCCTGTAAAGTACTTGCATACTGTAGTGACCTACTTTTAATACACCTATACAATTATTGTCCTGTAAAGTACTTGCATACTGTAGTGACCTACTTTTAATACACCTATACAATTATTGTCCTGTAAAGTACTTGCGTACAGCAGAAACCCACTTTCAATATATCACAGTTAAAGACTGAAGGTTCATCCCATTTCTTGCCACTTACAAACATTTCAGTTCCATAACATCGCTGAAGTTCTGGTTTTGTTGTATATGATTGGTAATTATTTCACAGTATACATGTCAGACATTACAGTTAAGGTTACAGAAAAAATTCTCTAATCAGGAGATAAATGCACAACTCTCTACTTAGCTTACTGACAGCTTTTCAGTGGCACTGTCCATCTTGGTCACTCTTGTGGTTGAAGCCATGTGGCATGGCTATGACACCCAAAGTTGTGACACAACTACATGAAGAAGGAGGCAGAATGATGAAAGAAAACATTTTCAAAAAATTTTACGATGATAAAGTAATGCAGCAAATTCCATTGATAAAGATATCATTATTTTGTACAATTAGTGTTTTTCATTTAGGTAAAAAAATATTAGAAACCTAGTATTTAAAAAAAGATTATAAATTAGATTAACAAAAATAGCATGCATTATTGTGTAGTCACAGCTTTGTAATGGTGGGAGTTTGAAAAACGTCCTGTATATCAAAATTACACTGAATTCTAAATTTGTTCTAAGAATTTTACAACACTGGCAGGAATTAAACAAAATGATGACAACTCATAATGTATGAGTTCCCTGATTCAAGACGCCATTTTTCCCTTACAAAAAATATGGTCTGTTTTCGTAATGATAGCACTCATTTATGATTGGTGCAGCCCGTTAATGAACAAAAGGTTCCAAAACGGTAATATTAAGAAGTAATGATAATAATACTTATAGACCAGTGAACCACACGACTGTAAGATTGAATAGTGTCCATAAAACTACAACATTAAGTTGATGATTATGATGAACTCTTTGGCTGAAAGGTGGGTAGGAGGATTGCTATGTTTGGTGTGTTACTGTCAGTTCCATTTATGTTACTGTATGTGACACTGTTTGGGAATTCAGACAGGTGCTTGGTAGAGTGTTAATTCATTGGTTTTTTTGGTAAACAGAAGTAACATCCTGGCAGTGAATTTTCTATCAAAATAACATTACATATTCATTGAACTAAAAAACATGAGGTGAGAAAAACAAAGTACCAACATTGAATCTAGAATATTATATGGTAAATATCTAACTGCCATTGCTATAGAGAACTATAATCAAGTTCCTTCTGTTAAGATTCAGTGGTTACACAACTCCCATATAGCTGTTATATATTATTTCTATAAAACTCTGATTGCTTATTCATCACAGTCAACAGTTCTAAAATCACATTTAAAATAATATAATAATTCTGTATTTAGTCATTTTCTGTCACAATAGTTCATCAATATACTGGCATATTTTCTTTTCAAACTTCCCTCAATCCAGATAAACTGATCACATTTCCTTATAATTTAAATCATGTAGTTTTGACTATTAAACAGTATTATTTTTACTTGAAGTTCTTCTTTCTCAGAAGGACATTACACTGTGTGAATGGGTGGTGATCACTCCCCAACGTCTGCGTCCTTGTCCCCTATGAGGTAGAGGAGATGGAAGGCTAGGGCAAGAAATGCTGTTCCCAGCAGGTCACCAATGGCTGTCAAATAGGGGATGGCAATGTTGTCAGGATCCTCTCCTAAACGCCATACAAAATGTACCATCCAATGGGCAAGGTATAGAAGGATGATCACCTATAATGGTAAGGCTACAGAGTCAATATCTATATATAGATGACCATCTAAACCGAATTGGTATCTATAATGGTAAGGCTACAGAGTCAATATCTATATATAGATGACCATCTAAACCGAATTGGTATCTATAATGGTAAGGCTACAGAGTCAATATCTATATATAGATGACCATCTAAACCCAATTGGTATCTATAATGGTAAGGCTACAGAGTCAATATCTATATATAGATGACCATCTAAACCCAATTGGTATCTATAATGGTAAGGGTAAAGTTCGATATCTATATATAGCTGACTACCTAAACAGAATTGGTATCAATAATGGTAAGGCTTCAATATCAATATATAGAAGTAGAGAGACATTGACTAAACACCATAGACTAAGATATTGTATATCTACCTGTAGCACAGAGGCAGTGACTAAACACCATTGACTAAGATATCATATATCTACCTGTAGCACAGAGGCAGTGACTAAACACCATAGACTAAGATATCATATATCTACCTGTAGCACAGAGGCAGTGACTAAACACCATAGACTAAGATATCATATATCTACCTGTAGCACAGAGGCAGTGACTAAACACCATTGACTAAGATATCATATATCTACCTGTAGCAAAGAGGTAGTGACTAAACACCATAGACTAAGATATCATATATCTACCTGTAGCACAGAGGCAGTGACTAAACACCATAGACTAAGATATCATATATCTACCTGTAGCAAAGAGACAGTGACTAAACACCATAGACTAAGATATCATATATCTACCTGTAGCAAAGAGACAGTGACTAAACACCATAGACTAAGACATCGTATATCTACCTGTAGCAAAGAGGCTGAGACTAAACACCATAGACTAAGATATTGTATATTGATCTGTAACATAGAGACAGTGACTAAACACCATTGTGTAAGATATTGTATATTTACCTGTAGCAAAGAGGCAGTGAGATAAATGCCAGCAAATGTTATAGTGATGGACGTATGTCCAGCTTTCATGTAGGAAATGGTGAACATAAATATAAGGTGTCCTGGTATCACTAAAGAAAGGAGGACACGTGCTGCTTTAGAATTGGAAGCTGAAAGAGTTACAGAAAATAAAATCAATCCAAACCAGTTTCAATTAATAAAATTACAATAACAGTACAGCAAGACCTCTTAAGCTTTAGTTAAAATCAACACTTAAGACTAAGGATACTGGTTAAATATCAATAATTGATAATCAGTTACAGTCAGAACAAAATTCAATCAAAATGGTAAAATAAAAGTGAAGAATGATAATGAAGAATTCAGCTTACTTTTACCACAGAAAGCACCGCCTGGGTTGGGGCAGCCTCTGGTGGCTGTTGTAGGCAGTCTCCCAGGGCTACTGACTAGATGTAGTGAAGTTGTAAGACGACTGGCATGTACTGCCACTAAGTTTCCACCTACTCCTAGCAAACAGAAATGGTATCCGAATCAATAATCATTCCTTAAAATACAAGATATTTTTAACAAGTGTATTGAACGTCAAGCATCTCTTTCATTTCTTTTATAAATTCCTGAGGAAATTTATTGTCAGCTACAAAGGGTGAAAATAGGATATACAACATTGCTGTACAAAAACACTTACTGTATTTTCCAGCCTATAAACCGTTCATGAGTATAAGTCACAGGGCTGGTTTTTAGACATTTTTTTATTTGATCAACATATAAGACACACAGGGATATAAATACACCCTTTCTTACGATGTGATAACCGTTATGTTGACAAATGTTCATCGATATAACAGACAACGGAAGACAATTTATCAAGATCATCAGTAACACATGAAATAACAATTATCAAACTTGTTCGGTTTGTGAGCCTTCAATGATTGTCTACGCACAGATATAGGGTCTGACTTTATGTACAATTTACTCAACAATATCTCCATCGGTGTCTGTACTGTTCAATATTAGTGAAGGCCCTTGCATGCTGACAAAATTCTTATAGCACCATATTATTTCTTGGAAGTTACATAAAGGCAATCTTATTGTAAACAAGCATGGCAGTATTTCAAGAATCTGACTCAATGACCTATAGATCCTATAATGCAACAGGCTATTTTAAAACTCAGCTATGACTTTTGAAGCAACCACCAAAGTTCAGAAGATATCATTGTGATTCATATTAAAAGGTATGATTAATTAAATCCAGGAGAGTGTTATTTTTATTTCAATCTTAAAATCATTCTGTATAGGATACAAATGAGGGTTCTAGACGATCTGTTTCAGTCACAAACAAGTGATACACAGGTACTCATAAAAATTGTGGTACTGATGTCTCGTACTGGTATCCTTGGTTAAAATCACTTTTGTTTTTCATTTTTCCTGGAACCAAAAATTATCATGGTGCAAGGTCACTCAGGCCAATTCAACTGAAATACATAACGATCCGGAACTGATGTCCAGCCGAAACACTTCAATTTTTTTTTCATTCTTCAGATTTTTTTTGTCCACATATAAGCCGCACCGGAATATTAGCTACACCCCCAACCGCCAGAGAAAAAGTGCAGCTTATAACGCAGAAAATATGGTATCTGATTATCTAAGCTTGTCTGATCAATAAACATTTCATTAGAATTGTCCATCTAAAGAGCAAACTATCTCACCTTCCACAAAGAGATCCCTTACACCACATGATTCATACTTATATCTAGGATTAAGCAGCTGTATGTCCACTTACCATTAATCACAGGTTGAAAAACAGCAATGCCATGGTATTTAGCTACCGTAAAATCTAGAATTAAACCGCCCACACTGAAACAGAATGACACTTATCATTGTATTTACAGCAATGTAAAGTGAAATTATCACTTAATTTTTAATGAGGTTTTATATCTGTTCATTCCATGGGTACTCTTGATCATTGAATTCCTATATCCATGAACTCTCAAAACGAGCAGATTTATTGCGCTAAATTTATCCACCAACTCATGTGTCCATGAAACAGTAATCTTTTGAAAATGCCACAAACATTCTACAAATATATCATATTAAACAGTATTTGAATTATACAGTAAGTTATTTCAAAACCTAAGTGAAACATCAACTGATTACATATCAGAATTACTTTTAGGCATATCATCAACATTTCCATGTTCTGGCTGACAAAAGTCAACATCAACACAATACACAGACTACCCTTGTAATATATAAAAGGGGAATTGAGCCAACACCGGGTTTCAGTAAGGCAGAATCTTGGCTCCTCTGGATATAAGGTATGCAGGGTGATTGATGGATAATACAATTAAGTAGAAGTCAATCACAACAGACGAAGGGGCTGGGTTCATCAACTGATTAGCTGGTCGACCAGTTTTGCCCTATTTCTTAAGGACATGAGAAGATGAAAGACGATGGTAAGTAAGGTGAAACTGGTTGACCATGTAATAAATTGATGAACCAGACCCATTGGCCTGTGGTGATTGACTTCTGTTTACTGATCTTAATTTAGGACATTTCAGTGAAATCTTATTTCCAGACTGTGAAAAAATATCATTTCTATGTTGATTTATGAATCCAAAATTTTAAAAAATCTTAATGAAATTTGTGATTCAGCATCAAGAAAAAACAATTTTCGATAAATATTTATGCAACAACATGAAAATTACGATATACTTTTTACAGAGTCTGGAAATAGGGTTCCACTGCAAATGAGTCTTGAATATTGCTATCAATTTTAATGCTTCAATATTACTGGGAAACAGGTCTTAAAATCTATAACATGCTTGATGACTTGAAGATCTGAGGATAGCTGTACAGCAGGTGTAGAATGATACAAGGTGATACCTGATACAGTTTGGACTTACCTACTTATAAACATTGCACTTAGTACCGGTGTCCAGCCAGAGTAGACAACATCATTGGTATATTTATTTTTTATAGATATATACAGCCAGAGAGGAATGAGAGCTACCAGGAGACCAATAATGGTTGGAGCCAACCATAAATGTTTACCTGAAATCCAAATCAGAAAGCCAGTTAGAAAAATCATACTTCTGTGAAAACTCTCTGCCACTTTTAATGTAAGACATCACTGCACTTTCCTACTGAAAAACCATCTGATCACTAAGCAAATAAATCAATACAATCATACAGGCCAGCATAACTAAATGTTCAAATTGTGCATCACCATCTACTACAAAAGAATTGTACAAGACAAAACTAATCCCTGCTAGTAGAGAGAGGGAGCCACCAGTCTAACTATAAGATTATCTTACCTACTAATACAAATTTGTACAGGACTACACCCCTGTTAGTAGAGAGAAAGAGAGAGAGCCACTAGTGTTACAAATATATATAAATAGGATTGTCTTACCTACTAATATAGAATTGTACAGGACTACGCTACCCCGTTAACAGAGAGAGAGGGCACCACTAGTCCGACTAATGTATATAAATAGGATTGTCTTACCTACTAATATAGAATTGTACAGGACTACGCTAACCCCTGAAAGTAGAGAGAGGGTAACCAGATCACCAAGACTAGCCGCTATAGGTGTGGCCACATTGTCTGGGTTTATTTTTACTTTCCTGGACACCACAACTACACCAACCATCACAGCACCTGTAACAAACATTATATCAATGATTATATAACAAACAATTCTAATCTATATTTTTTTTGCTGTAACTGTACTTTTATAGAAAATCCTTAAACCATATATTGCCCTATACATATACATTATGTAAATCAAAGTTGTTTCAAAAACACTAAATCCAAACAGAGAAAAATATTTCATTCTTTGTTTTCTTTCTTCTTTTTCCATTGCATTATTCTTTTTAGTCTGCAACTCTATTCTTATGGGATTTTCTTCCAAACAAAACATAAACCTGACATAGAACTACTTACCTAAAACAAAACTAGCTACAGCTGCAGTGAACATACTACTGGCACAAAGCAACAGACCGTGATACAGATCAAACTTGCCCTGAGGGATCCATCCCATTATCATTGCAACCATAGATGCAAGGAACCCGACAACAATCGCTTGCGCCTGAGGACAGATAAGTGAAACTATATTGAACATTCAGTCAGAAGTCTGGAAATAGTTTGATTTCTGACATATTTTTCTGACACATAGAGACGTATTACCATATTTGTCTTTCAATGAGTCCAAGGCGCTAACACATTACTTCATACTTACGTAAGGAGGTGGGCTTATCACAGGATAAAGAAATAAATAATATATATGAGTATGTTTATTATGTTACCAGGCATTGGTTTAATGTCAGAACTATGTGGTAGGTAAATATTGAATAGACAATATACGCAATTGTAAACTCAGTAAAGAAAGAGCTGTCTTAGAGTTCGCATTTCAGATTTTCTGTTTGGGGAAGGAATTATTTGTGACATTAAGTAAACATTAGTAATCAGTACAAACCTGAACTAAAGCCATATTCCCAAATATCAGACTCCACATTTCTTTCTTTGAATCGAGAATGCCTAGATTTGCCTGCAGAAAATAAAATTTCAAACACCAAAGTGTGATGAACATTCATATGTTACATTAATAGAACTGTACAGTAACATGCAACTTAACTGTTGATAATTTGTGAGGTTATGATCCTTAGTAAAATAAGTAGCAGAATGTCACCAATATTTACACTGCAATTTCATAGGCCTTCATTTGTCTCCCTTGTTTAATGTCAATCACCATTTTCTTCAACAATTTGTTCCTTTTTTAAAAGGTAGAGTTTGCAAAACCTTTAACTTCATTACCTTGTATACATTATAATTTATGTGTTTATATTGACTATATTACAATCACAATATAAAACTGATGTTTACCTGTGTAGATAAGCGTGAAGCCAACGTCATTTCCAAGTTTCCTTTCAATCCAAGCAGGGACGGGACGAGGATGAATACTTCTGATACATTAACAAACACTTCCCAGTGCTGTCATGGATACAATTAAAACACTGTTGTGAATACTGCATTCTCTCACAAAAATGCAGATTTTGGACATTTACAAACTGCCTAGCTACATGTTAATCAAAGTGATGATATCTTCCCTTGCTGTTAATATTTACATTAGCAACATTATTTTAGCACTAACAGTATCAACTGTATTGAGCTAAACTGTTACACACCATACTAATTACACTTGTTTTAGCAATTATTATGGATGATATATTCATCATTGCATTAATTATCTAAAAAAAAGAAAGAAAGATCTTTCATGAAAATGTGTCAAAACTTGATTGGGCAATATGTTGACAGTAACAAAACTGCATTGTATCTTGTGTTTTAAGTATATCCAATCAGAGAAAATAATAATATATTATAAATTTGTATGATGTTTGAAAATTTTAGAAAAACATTTTCCTGACATAGAGGTTATATCAATATTAATAACAAACAAAATCTAAATAAAACTTTAAGTTAAAAACATTTTGTCTGCAATTTGACAGCTTGTATGTACATGACACAACAGTGTTACAAACCTGTACAACATCCAGCACCATACCAGCTCCCACAGTCCCAAATCCTGCCACTATGTAGGGAAAAAAGACCTGAAGTCCAATTTCAAACCAGGTCTCTTCCCTGATATCTTCATTTGTGTCCACATCATCTGAATGTGGATCACCATCTGGGGATGATGCAGTATCTAACAGCGGTCTAGTGTCTACATCAGCACCAAATATAGTCTCTTCCTCATCATCATCATCATCATTTCTAGGGGGAGAACCTCCTTGCACTGCTGTCACCCCATTCTTAAGTTGTTTAGTTTTCAGATCATTGAGCTTCGTGGAAGGTTCACTTGATGAGGTCGTGGCAATGCCAGTGGGATGGATAGGGTTTGAGGTGGGGCGAGTGGGGACCATTCTTTTACGGAGGTTGTATACACCTTGATCCCTCTCAGCCATTACAGCTGTACCTCAGTACAGACCGATCAAAGTCACACTATGGTGATGTAATCAGGAATGTTAAAACAGGTCATGCTTCAAAAGGGAAAATGTTTGGTAAAGTTGGTGAAACAAACCTGAAAATACAGATATCAAACAATAAGCTAATAGAATTGAATACTGTCAATGAGCACCATGAAATTTTAGTTATACAAGTTACTGCATCTGTAACACATATCTGAAGTGGCAGATGGAGAAGACAACCTTTCCTGGTAGTAGGTCAAGGAAGTCCTCTGAATACATAGTAGTAGCTGGTTCTAAACTGTTCAGATGGACAATATACTTTCATACATCTTTGACTACATTTTTAACAAGTATCAGCTGATGTGGTTCAATGCATGCTATGTGTCAGGTTGCAGGATAGGGATATTCACCCTACGAGGTCACAAAAATGTCATAAAACCTAAGGCTTTACCAAAGGTTTATCCACATTTTGTGACCTCGAGGGCAAAATATTCCACCTTTCACTGACATATGAATGAGTTTTTTTTCTCATTTTTTCACTCTAAAATCTTGTGAAGAAATAGCCTCAGACGTAGACAATGTACTACTAACACAAAAAGTTTTTTTACTCACCTCAATCAGTTAATTTCAACATATAATGTACTACGATAAACAAGACATAATTGCGTCGACTGTCATATACGAGGATCGTTAAGCTTGTTTTGCATATATGTAAATCTCTGTGATACTAATGTACTGTTTATATATTACCCTGTCATGACAGACAGTCGGCTGCTCGTGACAGGACGTCACGTCGTTATCTGGCAAGGTGATGTCGATATGTTCGATCCAAGAAGACTCTTATTTAAATCCAAACTACTTCAAAACTTCATATTTTACTCTAGCAATAAAAACATGCTTAACTGTTTGTCAGTCAATGACAAGGAAAATAGAAATGAATGCAAAAACAACAGAGTTATACCTGCACAGCAAAATCTGCCAACAAGTCAGCGGCCATGATGGAACTCTCAAAACAAACAATTATCGTGATAAATATTGAGATAACAAAATTATCAAACCTAACATCGCGTTTGTTTTACTTTAACGTTGATAAATCCACACTTTCAAAGCAGATATACACTAAGTTACTTTATTGGTTCACAATTGTATGCATTTTATTAAATAAATAAATAGAGGTTATATCCAAGATGGCAGCGCCCATGGAAGGAGTCATGAACGACAGCATGCAACACGATGCTAAGGAATTGGAACCTTCAAACACTACAAAACAACGTTTTACAAAATCTAAGGATTTGCTTAACATAAGTGGTAATGTTTCCGTTATTGTCAAATTTAAAACAACTATTTAATGATGTGAAACCAGCAAATCCTGGGTAGGAGTTTAGTGTAACTAGAATTCTGTACAATTGCTGGTCTAGCGATCAAACCGCACACCCCGGATCCTTACGCGAAGTTCCATATGTATATATTAATTTATGTAATTATACTGTTTATATGTAATACTTAGCTCTGTGTGGGATTGAAAGAAAATATGTCTGGTACTGAAGCACCGACAAATCTGGATTGCAGTCAAGTCTAGTACGTATATATGGCAAATGTAAGCATTCAGATGCAGTCCGGTCCCATTTCTTTCGTACAGGTCGAAAAATGGATGATGAATCATGCAATTCAGTTAATGTTTTAGCATATTTGCTAAATTTCATTGTTACATGTGTCATTTGCAGAAAAGCATCCCCTTGGTGCAGTTTCAGGCCACAGGTCCATTTTCAGCATGATGTTTCCGTGCAAAAAAAATAAGTTGCAATGAATGCGAATTTTGTAGTGGGAGAAAGTGATATCAGAGGTGTTTTAATCATGAATTAACCTAATTAATGTCTCATCATCGGAATATGTGGATAAAAGGATGCAAGCACCAAACCTTGCAACAGCAAAATTCAACCAACCTACTGGAAATGGTGACTATATAGCCAAATCTGTCAATGTAGCCAGACTTGCTGGTGCTCTAGTACCTGTTTTTGGTATATGGTGCAGTGAGTGTTTCTCAGGAAACTGGGAATACAGACGCTGTACTGTCATATGGTTGTATCCTTCAGCAAAGCATTTTACCAAAATTGCCTCTAATAGGATTTGAGAGAACATGTTCAGTAAGGTAGCTCCCAATACAACACTAACAGTGACTGATGATGGAGCAATAAACACTGCATATAAACAATACACAATTGAATTTGGAGGATCTGCATTTTTTTGTTTACATGCTTGTATTCATGAACTTTAAAACTCTTTTGTTTCAATATAATTAATGCAAACACTTTAGTATTAAATAAGTCCATTGCAGCCAGATCAGACCTGTAAGTGCTTTAGTTGAGGGGTATTGCGGCTAGTATTTTACCAGAGTACATAAGCACATTGTGGGGATGTTATTTTTAAAGAAAATAATAGGTTAAGAAAATATTTGATTTGTGTATTAATGGTTTAGTGTCTGGGATGAACCAGCTTAAAATTATTCCCTGGTTTGTTCTTCTTGACCTGTTTTCCTTTTTCCTCAGAAGATGATGGAATTGCAGATCGACTGTTGGTGAATAAAAGAAGTAAAGCATCTAAATTGGCTGGACCAAGGAAAACATTTAAACCTCCTGCAAGCTCAGGTACTTTTACTGAACATATGATTGAGTGTGGCTTAGGATTGAATCAGCATTAGTATCTAGTCTCATGACTCACACCTAGTGAAATCTTCTTGGATAAACAGTAACAACAGCCACTGTATTAGAAAGGATTTTCAGGTCAAATGGACAAAGGTGAATAGCATTGCTACTTTAAATAGGATTTTTTATAAATTAGCGAACATGTTAGTAATTTAAACTGTATCTTCTGCGAAGAAATGAGATATTTTATGGGAACATTTCTGTCGCTACAAGTTTCTTTTGTTAATTTTCAGGTCATCTGACCTGAAGGGTCAAGATGACCTTAGCCATCATGCTTCATCCGTCATCGTCCGCTCTGCATCATGCGTAAACTTTTTATTTTAAACCCTATTCCTCTTTCATACCTCAGTGGATTTCAACCAAATTTGGTTTGATGCATCATTGGGGAGGGTAATCATTTGTTGAATTCAGAATTTTTATTTGACCTCAAAGGGTTAAGGGACTGAAATGGGGAAGTGCTGAAATTAGCTTTTAAACCCTACTCCTCCTTTCTGCCAGGGTAGATTTCAACAAGCTTTGGCATGATTCGTCAAAGAGGGTGGGCAATTATTTCTTAAATTCAGAAATTTGATTTTGTCTCTAGGAACTTATGGGCAGGGCCCTCAGAATATTTATTAAGGACCTGGGGCAGGGCCCAAAATGGGAAAGTTAGTGAATGATTTTGCTTCAAAACACTTCATGCTTGCACAGATTTATACCAAATGTGGTCTGAAAGATCTTCGTGGGAATTCGTCAGATTTATCAGACCACCATCTGCAAATTCTGTGATTTGTCAATCGATTCATGGCCCTCTTGTTTTTCATTTTTTTTCAGTTTTATCTGAAGTTAAAAGTTTTTTGCCAAAGATGGCCAAAGCAAATGAGGACCTGACTGCTCTGCTGACGAAGGTGCCAGCCAGTATGGTGGACATAGAGAATGTGTCAGATGATACACCAAATGTGATAGAGATGGTGAGTGTAGCCTAGCTGGACAAGTCTGTGGACAGAAAATAGGGAATGTAGTAATACTAGAATCTATGTACAGGAGTTATTGTATTATAGCTGAAATCTGTAGACAGAAATCTACTGGCAGATGTTAGAGAGTACAATAGAAGCTGTAAACAGAACTTAAGGGTATTACTTATATAATTTTCATTTCTTTACAGAATATTTCATTAGTACCAGACATGGGGAGTGATTCTAATAACTCAGACTGTGATTCAGAATCATCGGACATTGACTTTGGTGAAGTGACAGAGGAAAACTTCAAAATTGTCAAAACAAATGGCCAGGTGCGAAATGGAATTGTGGAATTAAACCCGTCATCAGATGAAGATGAAGATAAAAATGAAAAGACCTGAATGTGACGGGCGATGAAGTTACATACAAGAAATTTATAATATGATGAACTTACATATAATTGATGAAGGGACCATACTTAGGACATGCTGCAATAGGACTTTTTGTGTCTGTTAAGACCAGGGTATCCTATAACACTAGTCCTAAATAAACATCCTGGTGATACACTACACTGGCTGTAGTTGTTGTCCACATGATGATGGGATTTGTTCTGTGAAGACCCACTGGATACTTGACATTACACACGTTCCTTACTGACCTCTGTAGAATATTTATCAGCAGAAACCTCAGTCCAAGGTTATTCCTTGTATCTGTATATCTGACAAGGAAATCACTTGGGAGATTGGAAACACAAGTTGGCATTAAGTATTGTTTTGTAGTGGTCTCATTTATTTTGTTTATTTACTTAACAAACATAGATCTAGCTATATGTTATACCTGGTATGATCTGAGTATGTTAATAGATCTTAGCTTGATTCCTGTTTCGTTATAGAGACAAATTTAATAGAATATCAATTGAAATCATTTTGTTGGGAAATTTCTTTATGTTTCTAAGCTTCAAAACAAACATATTTTTGTTGAATAACAACTGCATTTATATGAAATAAAAAAGTTGAATATGAATTCAAATTTTGATTCATGCATCATTCCATTGAAATACTGGAAATAGGATTTTATTCCCACTCAAAATCATAACATGGCTACAGACACTAAGAGTGAGCTAAGACAGATTGACATCACCAGTGGTCAAAGACACAGTGACATCACCAGTGGTCTAAGAAAGATTGACATCACCAGTGGTCTAAGACACAGCGACATCACCAGTGATCTAAGACAGATTGACATCACCAGTGGTCTAAGACACAGTGACATTACCAGTGATCTAAGACACAGTGACATCACCAGTGGTCTAAGACAGATTGACATCACCAGTGGTCTAAGACACAGTAACATCACCAGTGGTCTAAGACAGATTGACATCACCAGTGATCTTAGACACAGTGACATCACCAGTGGTCTTAGACACAGTGACATTACCAGTGATCTAAGACATAGTGACATCACCAGTGATCTTAGACACAGTGACATCACCAGTGAACTTAGACACAGTGACATCACCAGTGGTCTAAGATACAGTGACATCACCAGTGAGCTAAGACATAGTGACATCACCAGTGATCTAAGACACAGTGACATCACCAGTGTTCTAAGGCATAGTATCATTGCTAATGATTATAGACAGGGTGACATCTCAGCTGATTTAAGACATAAAGACATCCCTACTGATCTAAGACATTGACATAACAGTGATATCAGACAAAATGATGACATTAACAGTGATCTAAGGCAGAATGACATTGCCAATGGTATTGGATGTGTTATCATCTGTTATTTCAGATCTGATACAGTAATCACTATCTACCCTATATTTTCTTTTCTCAAGAACCACAATCCTTCATGGGATAAATTTGGAATGTAAATTTTCAGTCATCTTCTGAAAATATTTTTATGCTCCTAGAACATTTTCAGGGAATTTATAGTCACAACCTTTTCAATCTGTCCATCCTTTTGTGTCCAGAGCATAACTTTACCCACAGTTGAGCAAGCATCATCAAACTTAAAGATAACATTGATCATAATAAGATGATGTGCTGTGTACCAAATTCATGGCACTTGACCCTTGAATTACAAAATTATTGCCCTTTGTTAAATATACGTTTCCTGAGCATAATTTTGTGTTGCTTGTTATGATCCACAACCCCTTAATGACAGTTATTGCCCTTTGTGATTTTTTTTTGTCTGGAGCATGACTTTGCCTGCATTAAGACTAGGATATTGGAAGGTGATATATACATCAGTCACACAAAAGCAAGGTGCAGTGTAGCAAAGTCAGGATCTATGACCTCTCAGTAAAGAGTTGTTGCCTTTGGTCAAAATATTGTGTCATGGGTATAGCTGTGCTTGCATTAAAACTAGGACCATGTGCTCTGTCCAAATTCAGGGCCTTCAGCCCCTTAATTACAGAATTATTAACCTTTTGGTAATGGATAATGACAAATGACTTCAAAAATAATTTCTGTTTTAGGTTCAAGCCTTGGGGTCAAGCATGAAATTTGATTAAGACCAAACATGGACAATATCCTTAAACAGACAAAGGATTTTTAAGAACTTAAATTTCCCCAGTTGGGCAGTATTCCTCCAACCCAAGGGGGCCCGGATGTAGTTTATACAGAACTGATTACTCTTCACCCAAGAATACTGTAAACCAAATTTGGGCAAAATTGGCTAAGTTGTTCATGACTAGAAGCAATTTGCAGAAAAAACTGATGGCCAGGTACTGCGATATACCAATAGCTCACATGGCCCTACAGGGCAAGTGAGCTAAAAACACAAGTGCAGTTAGAATTACACAGCCCCCTTGGAAACAATTAAACAAGATGCCACATGCCTCTTCCCCCAAGGTCAAAGTTCAAATTACAACAATGTTTGGTTTCTCACAGGGTCAGGTCATCTAATTAGTGTTGATAGAGGTTTTAAACAATAACTGGTTCATCTTATAATGACTAAGTCCAACAAACAATAGAAGCATCAATCATTTTATTTTTGTAAGCAAATTAAGCTATAAAAAAAATAAAGTATATGAGAACATGTGACGTCCATTGCAGGACAGAGCCTCCAACGTTAATCCCATGGTTAATTTATGTGTTTCTCATCAATTGCACTTGTACACTGGTGGTTTGTGGTAACATGGTCTAAATTATTCCGACTTTGTATCGACTTTTACATTTCTGCCTATAGTTAATCACATACTCCAGAACGATATATAAAAGTTGATTAAATGTCAGATAATTTGGACTCGCCGTTTTGAAACCTATGTATGTCCTGTGATGGTGTCAGTTATATCAAATTGTCAATAACAAACACGATACACTGTGCAATGTAGCCTATTAATGATATTGGTGTTTGTCACATGATGAAATGAATGTTATTCCAATAAACAAGCTGAAATATTGTGTTTAAAATAAATTAATATAAATGTGCTTGGTGTGCACATATCTTTTACATAGAGGCTTTTACGTGAGTTCCCATTCACAAAAGATGTTGACAAAAGTTCAAAAAATTGTTCATTTTTTTCATGTGTGAAAAGAAATGGAAACAAACGTAAAATTTCATTTATCACATAATTATTCGTTTATTTTTAAAAATAGATTTTCCTTTGTTCAGGTTGTAGTTACTATAGTTACAACATTGATAAATGTATTGGGTATCATTACACTACAGGATAGCTATGTGATCAACATATTTTTATTTAAATTTGATCTCAGAAGCTATAATCTAGTCATCTACTGGACATTGTATCAATATATAATATATATACTGAAGAAAATAAACAAACACCATAAATAATCAAACAAAGTGTTATCCTAGAGAGGGTCATTTTTATATGGGTTTTTATTTAGAAGAGAATTTAGCAGCCAAGAACTCAGTAAATTGACTTTCAACTACTGAGCTTTCAGAAAAAGGCCTGTAATGCAATAAATTTGGTTAATTCTTATTAACTTTAAGATGACATTGAAAAGCATGTAATAATTTCCTCCAAATATTTCCAACATAAAATCACAAAAACCAATTTTGGAATAAAAAATCTTACAAAAATCAGAGCAGTCCAGATTTTTATACAGTGAGTCTATAATTTATAATTTATTAAATTAATTACGGTAATCTACTTGTAGCTTGTATACAACAAAAGTTATTCCCCTTTCTTTGACACATTTTTTCTTTTGTGAAAATAATTATTAGTAGCCAATCAGAACCAGTGTAACAAACAATGACACCATTTTCAGCCTATAAGAATACCTGATTCAAATGGGGATATATTTGTTTCCTATGATATAAGATGGACTAATTATGACTTAACTTTTCCCAGATATTCATGTGTATGGCTGTGGTACAATAGAGCTAACACATGTCACATTCTATATTTATAACAAAGGCACATTGAATAGCTGAACAGTCTATTTAGGTGATATATGTAAAATAAAATTCACAAGTAAAGCTGAACAGTCTATTTAGGTGATACCAGGGTACATGTAAAATAAAATTCACAAGTAAAGCAACATAAATACAAAATTTGACTATGGTTTCAAATACACAGCATAAATCAATGTAAATTAATTAAACATCTAAATGATAAATAGAAAACAAATGGAGAAATAAAACACCACCATACCAGAGTGAAATTATAACATAGATATAGGTAAGCACCAATGGCAAGATGGAGTTGACAGGGAGAGCAACACTCTGTTAATTTACAACAAAGCTTCACAGATAGACAACCAAAAGGAATGATCCTGTTCACAACCAACACGTCACATCAGAACATACAGTAAATCAGCTTGATAACCAACAGCTCTCCCATACAGTTCTCCAGGTCATGGCCCGTTTTCAAATTCCTTGAAGATTTTGGTCCCCTCTTCAGCTCTAAGAAACTTCCTTCCTTTCTAAAGGTCAAGGTTCTCTATTGGTTCCCTGAGAGTCAAAGGTTAAGGTCAGTTTAAAGGGCCTTCATTTCTCAAAAGCAGTCAAAGGTCAAGACCATCCTCCGATTCCTTAGGTAGTCAAGATCCCTCCCTTTCATTCCCCTCACACTTCATTCCCTTCTCTTTTAGAGACTGATTACAAATGTCAAGGTTCTTTCTTCAAAGTGCTCAGAGGTCAAGGTCCCCCGCTGCATGTCAGGGCATCCCTCTCCACTTTAATTTCCTGCACTTTATTTTTAAAATTCCGTGCAGTACCTTGTTAACAATGTAAAGTTATAAACTTGTTTTACTATATGTTGTGTTGATATTGATCCCTTCACAACAGTCAACAACTCCGACATAAACACAGAACTGATAATGTCTACTGGAATGTAAATCAGTTATCTACAATCAACTAAAATGTGATACTAAAATTATACTAACTAAAAGCATTAGCATGATATGGGTAAACACAGATCATCATTAATAAAATAGATCACATCTGTAAAGTAAAAGGCAAACGAGATTCAAAGTTACATTTTCTAAAGCAAGCAAATCATTTGTACATAATTATAGTTGTAAGCAATCATACACATCATAAAATAACAATCTCAAATATATGTCTGTCGTCTCACAAGTTTTAAAACGCTTCAAAAATATTTCACAAATCATGAAATTATCTAATGGAAATTGAGCAAAACTAACAACTACAGCATGTGGTGATACATCAAACTTCTGTGTTAGTACTACCATAACTGAACAAGAATGGCATTCTAGAGGTCAAATATTTGGACTAGTTTATCATCGGAACAAACAAAAGGTATTGCAAATGCTGATAATTAAACTGGTGCAGAACTTTATTTTCAGTTTTTGGAAAATAAACAACATATAAATGACATTATTTTAAACATTTCTGTAAATATTGGTTTATACATTATAACGCCAAATCTCCCTAAAGGTCATCTTTATATAACTATTCACTATAGAGGACAAATTGTGCTCTGTATAACCAATACCTGTTTATAGATGCCATCTTGAGCTCTATATCACCAATACCTGTCTATAGAGGCCAACTTGAGCTATGTATAATAAATACCTGTCTAAAGAGGACAACTTGAGCTCTGTATAGCCAACACCTGTCTATTGAGGCCAACATGAGCTCTATGTAATAAATACCTGTCTATGGAGGTCAAATTAGAGCTCTATATAACTAACACCTGTATATAGAGGCCAGCTAGAGCTCTATATATCCAACACCTGTGTATAGAAGTCATCTTGAGCTCTATATAACCAATACCTCTCTATAGAGGCCAACTTATAAAGGGGTCAACACTTGTATATAGAAGTCATCTTGAGCTCTTTATAGTTATACCTGTCTATAGAGGCCATCATGAGCTCTATAAAATAAACTCCTGTATACAAAGACCACCTTTTGATCTATGTAACAAACATTTTGTCTATAAGGTCACTTGCTTCACGTGCCAACATGATACATATCACAGCAATTGAACCTCTATATCATGCCACCTGCCTATTAAGGCCACTTTTCTACAATCCTGTGAGTGGACTTCAGAGACTGTATATGGATGCTCAAAACATTTCCATGGACATCAAAATCAACACCATTGTGAATGGACACTAAGGTTACAAGCATTGTAACATGTAAGCTGCTGTGTATAAATGAAAATGTTAGATCACAATAATTAATATCACAATGTTAAGACTCCTTTGTTCTTGAAAGAACACTTGTGATTGGCAGGAACAGCCTTGCAAATTCTGGTATATATTAAAAACTATCTCATAACATCTGATGAACAAGGCAAAACTCTACAAGGCAAATTAGAAGGCATTAGATCCAACCACCTCTGTCACATTCAAATATATTTTTCATGCACAATAAGACAACAAAGAAGTGGTAAGTTCAATAATCAGATTTGTAACCACAAACAACATACATGAAATTTACCCTCTCACAGGAATCTAACACACATCTCCATCCTCTTGTATCCAAAGATGTCTAATTTGTTACCATGAATACAGGTTCTGATAATAACCCTGCCCTCTTGGAAGGACCCAAGACAGACCCCAACCTCTAGTATTCATAGATGACAGACATGTTACCATGGATACAGGTCATAAAATAATCATATCCTCTCACAAGGACCCAAGACAGACCTCAACCTCCAGTACCTATCGAGATCAGAGCATTTCCCTCTTACAAAGACTTGATCCTGATCCTCAATGTCTTATGTCAAGATTCATTACCACAGATACAGTCATGGCCCACACACAGGCCCACACAGACCCACACACAGGCCCACAAAGGCCCTCACAGAACCAATCAGCTCCCCAGTACCTAACCTCTAACATCCATTTATATTAACCAACATATCCTTATTACTATACAGACATTAGAGATGGGAATTTTAACCAGGCCCTTTTGTCTCATGTCTGTATCAAAATAACACAAATCACTAGATACACAGTCATTCTATTGTACTGTTGTTGCTATACATGGATTATGTTAACCATAACTTGGTCTGCATCAGTCTTGTTACATTTTGTTACAAAATGTCTGGAACGACGTTGAATATATTATTATTCAGTATGTATGCATATGGCAATTATATCTGGCATATATATTTGCTGTCATTTTTCCAATATTTACTCTATATAAAAATATTTTTTATGGAGAAGGCTAAAGCTAATAAAGAATGTCATTGTTTATTTAAGAGCATTGTCCTGACATTCCCATGAAGATTTCCAAGTTTTGAAGATGGTCTTCCAGGATTTTCATTGGTTGCCATGACATTAGTTAGACTAACGGGTAAGCTACGTCCAGTATAGCTAGTTTCTGTACGTTGGCTCCTACTTCCTCCACTTCCTCCCATTTATCAGCCTCTATGTCATACATAAACAGGGATGCCTCCGGGGTACTTCCTCCGATTAAAAAGATCACTCCATTGAGGATGCCATTATGACGATACAAGTGTCCAAACTCTATTGGTACAGGGGAAAACTGTGTCCATTGGTCGTTTTTTATATCGTATACCTCATTCTCAACACACTCCCTGAAATTATTGTCGGGCATGCAGTAGCCTCCAATGGCGTAGAGTTTGTCTTTGTATGGAGTGAGACTGTGACCTTGACGAGAAGTGATCATGTCTGTACACTGAACCCACTGATTACTGCCTAACTTGAGGCTATAGGTTCGTGGTACAGGACAAGGAAGGTGAGGATCAGCACTGATGCCCCCACATACGTACAGTGAGCCATCATAATAAGCTGCAGACATATCAAATACTTTGATGGGCAATGGGGTCGTATTGGTCCACTGGTTGTCTTGGGGATTGTATATTTCTACCGAGTCAAGGATGGTCTCTGGTTCATTGTCATCATCAATGTGAATTCGATGGATACCTCCGACTGCAAACAACTGTTGATCAGAGCTGCACAGGCAGAAGGAGACACGAGGTTCATTCATTGGAGCTACTTCTGTCCAATCACGAAATCGAGGATCAAAACGAAACATGCGAGCCGTGCTTGAAAAGTTTTGATCATAGCCTCCAGCAGCGTACAGGAAGTTGCCAATCTTGGCTTGTGACATTGCCTGGTAGTCTGTGCTGTCCAGTCCACATGGTCCAAGCTGCTCCATCGTAATACCAGCCTTATTTGGATCTCGGTAGATAATAAAATAGCCCTCCTCCGAGAAGGAGAAAATGGTGGCAACACGTCTACAACCCCTGGGGAGGTACTTTTCTCCAGACTTGAGACACTGTCCCATGATATTAAGGTTATGATTAATGGCTGACTCAATCTCCTCCTTCAACTCAGAAACATTTGTCACTTCCTCAGGCATTGACTCCAACTCCTCAGTCTCCACCAGATAGAAACGGATCTGCCTCAGAAGAGATTCAAACTGGTCCCTACGTCCAGCTGGATCTACAGCCAACCACTTCAACAGAACCTGAACCAGGAAATACTCAGAAAACTCAATGTAGATATCCTCCATAAGAAACTGTAGAAGAAGTTCATAACTCAAAGTTTTGTGAAAGTCATCTTCTTTGGAAAGCTCTTCTAAATTCTGGCTGAAAAATGTCAGGATTTCAAACTGCAGATCACCAAGGGAGTATTTATCAGTAATAACCAGGACAGCAGAATAGTTTTCAATGCTCATGGAATGAACCAGAAAATCACAACTCACCTCCAATATCCACTCCACATGGAAGAAGCGGGCAGCTTCTATAATATCCTCAATGTTAGTGTTATCCACGGTTATGTAACCATGGTAAAAGTATTCAAGAATTACCGTAATCCCCTTCGGACTGATTTCCTTCAGTTCTATAACATCTTGTTCTTTTTCCTTCATGTCATGTGAGAACATGGCTGCAAAATAATCACTCGACTCAGAAAGCACATCCCGATGAGCACGGAAAGTTTCCTTGCCAACATGCACTTTGACATCACACTTGTGATCATAAATCCTGGCCTCTTTCTTTTTGTAGGTAAGATTGATATACTTAACCTTGCCTTTACTGAGACGCATCCTATCTGTTGTCTCTGGATTGATGCCAGCGATGGTGTGAGGGTCACAGGCAGCCATACTGTCTTTGGGATTGGCTAGAACCACAGAGGAGTGTTGAGAGCACTCTTCTAATTGGTGAACAGTTTCTTTGCTGTTGGTATCGTCTGAAATGGCAGAGGTGAGTTGAGAAGACTCTTTTGATTGGTCGGCAGTTTCTCTGTTGTTGGTATTGGCTTGAATGGCAGAGGAGAGTTGAGAAGACTCTTTTGATTGGTCGACAGTATCTCTCGGAGGTGTGACCGCTGGTGGTGGAGAAGAAAGAGATGCTGATGTAGACTGTTCAGTTTTGTTACAAACTGATACTTCTACTGGTTTGTCTTTAGATGGAGTTGTCTTTCCCTTGTCTGGCTTGGACTCAGCTTCCTGTAAAGATTCCGATGAACCGGTTTTCTTTTTATTTGAGCCGTTTTTTGATGGTTTCTCTGTCTTTTTTACAGGTTCTGATTTCTCTTTCTTTAACGGAGTCAGTAGAGGCTTCTTTGGAGGTGCTACAGGTTTTGCCTTAGCAGAGCTACTTTTTGTCGGTGCTGTCAGATCTCGTTTTGGAGCAGTATGGTTACCATTTGTCTTTGGCTCAACACTTGATTTTGTGGATTTTGACTTGTTTGACGCACCATGTGAGTCGGTACTCTCACTGCTTGTTGAAGCCTTTCTGTCCTTGGTCTTGTCCTGGGATTCTTTTCTGAAATGAGATTGTTAAAAGGGACTATTACTTAATTTGCAGCATGTAATTTTTTGAAGAACACAATTGAAATTTGAGATTTAGTCAAATCATTGTTTTCATCTTTATACCAATATTCTAGATATCTATTCTGGGAATGGTCTGTATACTGACAAAACACTGGACATCTGATGACCAGTATACTGACAAAACACTGGACATCTGATGACCAGTGACCAGTATACTGACAAAACACTGGACATCTGGTGACCAGTATACTAACAAAACACTGGACATCTGATGGCCAGTGACCAGTATACTAACAAAACACTGGACATCTGATGACTAGTGACCAGTATACTGACAAAACACTGGACATCTGATGACCAGTGACCAGTATACTGACAAAACACTGGACATCTGATGACCAGTGACCAGTATACTGACAAAACACTGGACATCTGGTGACCAGTATACTAACAAAACACTGAACATCTGATGACCAGTGACCAGTATACTGACAAAACACTGGACATCTGATGACTAGTGACCAGTATACTGACAAAACACTGGACATCTGATGACCAGTGACCAGTATACTGACAAAACACTGGACATCTGGTGACCAGTATACCAACAAAACACTGAACATCTGATGACCAGTATACTGACAAAACACTGGACATCTGATGACCAGTATACTGACAAAACACTGGACATCTGATGACCAGTGACCAGTATACTGACAAAACACTGGACATCTGATGACCAGTATACTGACAAAACACTGGACATCTGATGACTAGTGACCAGTATACTGACAAAACACTGGACATCTGATGACCAGTGACCAGTATACTGACAAAACACTGGACATCTGATGACCAGTGACCAGTATACTGACAAAACACTGGACATCTGATACTAACAAAACACTGGACATTTACTATACAAAACACTGGACATCTGATGACTAGTGACCAGTATACTGACAAAACACTGGACATCTGATGACCAGTATACCAACAAAAAAACACTGGACATCTGATGACCAGTGACCAGTATACTGACAAAACACTGGACATCTGATGACCAGTGACCAGTATACTGACAAAACACTGGACATCTGGTGACCAGTATACTAACAAAACACTGGACATCTGATGACCAGTATACTGACAAAACACTGGACATCTGATGACCAGTGACCAGTATACTGACAAAACACTGGACATCTGATGACCAGTGACCAGTATACTGACAAAACACTGGACATCTGATGACTAGTGACCAGTATACTGACAAAACACTGGACATCTGATGAACAGTTTACTGACAAAACACTGGACATCTGATGACCAGTGACCAGTATACTGACAAAACACTGGACATCTGATGACCAGTGACCAGTATACTAACAAAACACTGGACATCTGATGACCAGTGACCAGCACACTAACAAAACACTGGACATCTGATGACTAGTGAAATGACCAGTGGATACATGTATATCGTATAACTACATTGTCGATGATAAGTACTCCTAGAGAGTTTTGGGCACGTCTTTCTGACGCACTATCTTTCTCATCATCTATATCACAGTAATACTATTACTATCACAATAATCTATTTTGTTATACAATCACAGACTCAGATATATCAATACTTAAGTCTGTGGTTAGACTACACGATGTTTTACACAAGGATAAGTACTATGTGTACAGTTATCATCATATTGTTTTTAAACTGTGATCATTTTATCATGTTTTAACTTGTTTCTTTGTGGATAAGACCATGAATGGGGGACTGTCTCAGTTTTCCTAACGTAGGGGGACTGTCTCAGTTTTCCTAACGTAGGGGGACTGTCTCAGTTTTCCTAACGTAAATCAGTAGAAATAAAAATATCAGAAATGAAACTGATCATAAATTCATACCCCTCAATAACGATCCAATTCTAAATATTGCTGGTGATTTTTCCAAGTATCCCGTAAATAGGAAGTTAAATGTTGTAGAGATATTATTTGTTGTAATGACAAGCTTAGTGGTTCACTGTAAAACAACGAAGGGAAAAAAATCATTAGAATTAGCTGTGTGGTGTATTGTTGTGTATGTGTTCTAATCATTATGTGCTCAAATGGTTATACAAGATATTACAATACAGACACTGTACATATATAACATAGCTATTTGTTGATTACAAATTCTGATAGGCTGACTGTGATATATGTAATACAGTATATGCATTTTCCCCAATGCTCTGGTATGCATTGTGGTATGTACACATACATGTACAATAGGATGTTTTTTCACCACCTCCATGTACATAAGAAAATCTCCTTTTGAATACTTTATATAAAACAGTACATTTTAAGGTAACATTTCTTCTGCATTAATTTCCCAAAATAATCCTATAATACCTATTGATAATCAATAAGATATGACAACAGCCCTCCTACTAAACCCAGGGTTGGCAAGCACAAGTATGTATATAATGATAAAGATACTGCGATGATAATGGTAGGTGACATGTCGTGTAAAATAATGGCTTTGACATTCCAAGAGAATTTAGTACGAGATTATATCTTAACTCTAAACATATATTACTACATAACTACATACAGATTGTCATTGTGTGTTTAGTGTCCTCATGGAGTACCTGGCATGGATGCCCTAGATATATTCACAAGAATATAACAGAATATAGAATTGTGTTTAAACATTACTGTAACAGTTTTTTCCCTTTTTTGACAGTGTTAGTGAAACCTTAAAGCACCATTGGCGCATATTTCTCAGAAGTCATGAAAATGCCTATAGTTTCCTATTTTAATCTTATTCACAAAGTTTTTAATTTTCACTATTTTTTTTATCCTCTATAAAACCCTTGGAAATTACAAACTATAGAGTGTATGTTTTTAGAAGTCTGACAGGCTTTTGGATTCAGATTTTATCCATCTAAATTTTTCTCACTTCATTGACAAGGTCAGAATTTCCAGTACTAATCTGTTAAAGAAATGGAAAAGTCTTCACTAGTAGGTAGATATGAGTTGTAGGTATGACTTGAACACTTAACTTTAATTTTGTCATCTGTATTTAGAAATTTAATTCTAGGCACCAACAAAGAAGGATGAATCAGCCACTAACACTTGAAATTTTCCTTTGTTCATCGCTAGAAAGTGACCACAACCATAATATTTTCTGAATTCCAATTTTAAAAATATCACACAAGAAATAGCTACTGGTACTTTCCTGATTTTTTAAGGTCACTTCATCCCGAGTTCTGACTTCCTGTCACCACAGGGGTGGCTATACTACATATATAGAGGAAAGAGAGAACTGAACCAAACACCAACAGCTCCCAAAATTCTTAGTCTTAATTCTTCCAAATCACAACACCTGAAAGCAACTTAAATCATATTTACAATGAAAGTCAGTCATGTGTATATGATTTTCGACATTACATACATATCACTTAAATATAAGTATGTCTTGAATTTTAATAAACAATTATTTCAATAGCTTTAACCCCATCACTCCCTTTTTTAAATTCTACTCATCATAACCACTTACTTTTTAACAGTTAGAAACATGCAAGTGTTTTTAAGTGTTAAGTTTTAACAGATGGTACTTACTGAGAATTTGATGATTTACTAACAGTAGAAGAATCCATGTTTGGATATAGAGAAGCTGAGGAGATGTGTTACAGCTGACGGACTGTTCTAGACTGACAAGGTGCCCCCAGACATCAGCCCTGGATTAGTATGTGATGATGTCATACCGACAGGCTCACCCTCATCCCCTGGACAACCATTATGCCCAGGGTCAGTAAAGGAACACAAAGGTTACTTTATCGTGGTCACCTAATCCAGACATCAGGCCACAGCTTCCAAACATGTCATTAATCTCACGTAGTATGTAATGTGTGTGCTATATCTTACTCACCAACAACATATGTAAACAAGAAGTACAGTTCCTCACATGAACTCCATCAGTAAACAGTTGCTGATTTACTTGTATAATTATATAATCAAGGGTTACAGTTACTTTCCATGTAGAATTAAACTAAAGTAACTTTGTTACTTTATAAAACAGGGTTATATATGCATACATCAACATAAATTAGGGGAATGCATTTAAACGTGTTTCTTAATATTTCAGTCTTCAGTAGTTCGATAGTTTCTCTTCCCTTATCTTATTTATTTATTTATTTATTAACGAGATTTACGTCTACTATTACAACCTTTCGGTCTATCAGTGGACGACTTCTCATCCTTTCAGCCCTTACACTTTTTCTAAGGATTCTGTTTAGTCTTTAGCAGCTCTGTGACAAATCATTATGGAATCTTGTCTCTATTTCAATAATTATTGTCAAATATCGTTACTCAGTAAATGTAAAATTGTTGTTATTATTTTCTCAATACAAAAAAAAAGAAAAACAATAACAATGAATATTAATACTGAATTAAAGAAGTTGATCTGGTTTACTTGTTTACTTGATCAAGACTTAAGAAAGTGAATCCAGTAAATATGTCTGTGTTGGATTTCACATAAAAACTTGGTTTAAATCAATGCATAGTACATTCTTAACATTACGTCAATTTGAATTGATCCTGGCTGACATTTTCTCGTGCTTGCAACATTGTGGTTCGTTGTGTCAGCTCTGTGTGGTAATTTTAGTGGTCAAATCTGACAATTCATATATATACATGTATACAGTGTTACTGCATTTTTATACGATGACATTTTCTGTGAATGAATTATTTCTCTGTCATAGTTAGTGTTGAATTAAATGTATCAGACCAGACATTGTTGTAAATATGAGTATTTTTTCAACTAAATTTTCTCAAAAATAATTGGGATGGATCCTGAATCAGCAACTTTTGGCAATATATATTTGATCATTTCAAAATAAAAGAGATACATTACGTCAACATTGTTTCGTCTTGATAGCAGAGACAGATATTTCTGAAAAGCTTTGTTGACGTTGTCTGTGCTGAAGGACCACTGTAGTAACTATAACAGATAATTGTCTGAAGTAGAGAAAACTTAATGTCATTGAATTTATTTTTATATACGGTGTACTTAATCATAAAAGGATAAGAAAAAAATCCAAAAACACAATGCTTTTAACAGGTGCTCCCTGTCTGCACAGGTAGTGTAACCCTATATTGGTGTACTGCAGACTTGTGGGTTTAGAATTACCAGTTCCCAAAGAAAACTAGTTTAGTGTAGGAGTCAAGACTTCATCATGTAGAAGATAGACTAAGCCTAGTCTGTTTACTAGTGTACAAGTAGGTGGCAAGCACAGAACAAGAGTGTTAATGTTATTGTGTTAGACAGCATGTAACGTTAATTTGCATTAAAATATAGAAAGGTCTAGATCTGTAAACTAATGTGACTACCTGTACCAAACATTCTGGCTTGCTAGACCGCCAGCCCGGTCGGGCACATCAACAGAGTTAGCAAATCTTAAATGAAAGTCTTAGATTTAAACTTTCAAACTTTAAAAAAAATGTTCAAACAACGACATTTAATAAGAAGATTGAGATGTGAATGCAAAGTTCACCATGGCTCCGTGTTTGTCCTAAGTTTTCACGAACCGAAGTGACGTCACTCGGGCCGGAGGGCCCCGGGTCAGACAGGTCAGGTGCTTGTCTGACGGGCCATCAACAATCTGTGGGCGGGGCACGTACAGTTTCACTTCTGCCATGAAGTTGTATGAGGACCATTAGTATACTTTCCGTCTAATACTCACCACTACCAATGTGTCAAACAGATCAGTCTCCAATTCAGCCTGCCATAACTCGAACAGTCACTTTCCCGTCGTAAGAAACCTGCCAGGCCCGGTTCCGCAATCACCCACTGGAACCAATGCGGATTCCAAGGGCGACAATCCCATTCCCATTCACAAATGTATACACGCCTACATAGATCACTTTGTTTACGAATATATTGATGCACCGGCTTCAATTTGTATTCATAAGCATGGGTGTAGACAACAGCTCGCGGAAGATAACCTGTTCCGGCGCAGATTTCTACGTGTCGATGGTATCGGCCAATATCAAAATTATTATGTAGGACATATTTACGTTTCTGGCTAACAATACATTTTCAAGAAAATACATTTAGAAATTACTCCATCATAATGTTTCAGTTTACTTTAGGACATACTAGGAAAATAACCATAATTATGGCCAATAAATTTGTGTTTTTAAGTTTGGCATTTTTACCAGCGAGCATCATAGCTGTAGTATTTACATTTTCCTATTCAATGTTCAGACAGTTCAAAAACAAAAACAAGAAAAATATCAGATATAGTAAAACATATTAATTCATTTCAAATAAAGGTTAACCTAATCAGACAGAAACAGGAATTAAGACAGTGTCCAAAGCCGAGACAGGTACCGAATTTATTATTCAATTTTTATTTTATTTTATTATTATTATTATTTTGCGTTTTTTATAAGTTCTCCCGCCCCAAACTCAAACTTGCAATCCTTCGTCATCATTCAGGATTAATAGGGCAAGGGTCTCAAAGTTGCCACTTCAGATCTCAGTAGTTCAGTGTAACCTAGTAAAACATACAACAATACTCATTTCCGAGGGGAGGGGGCACAATAAACATATAATTTTGGTTCTTTTACCAATACATAATGATTGTACTGTATACATATCGGTTATAGGAATTCTACATGACTGATTACAGAAAATTAATTTGTTACTATCAAAGTAATTAAGTTCATACGGTATCAAGAGATGATCGGTTTTGAGAAGTTTCATGCGTGATGTTAGGGGTCAAACCGCTGCCTCGGTTAGTACAATTATCTGAACTAATCTTTGTAAACTAACGGGACTAAGACTACAATGTATCAGAGACTTTTATGTCTATGTATATAGGGACTCCAGTGTCTATGTATATAGGGACTCCAGTGTCTATGTATATAGGGACTCCAGTGTCTATGTATATAGGGACTCCAGTGTCTATAGGGACTCCAGTGTCTATGTATAGAGGGACTCCAGTGTCTATGTATAGAGGGACTCCAGTGTCTATGTATATAGGGACTCCAGTGTCTATGTATATAGGGACTCCAGTGTCTATGTATATAGGGACTCCAGTGTCTATGTATATAGGGACTCCAGTGTCTATGTATTTAGGGACTCCAGTGTCTATGTATTTAGGGACTCCAGTGTCTATGTATATAGGGACTCCAGTGTCTATGTATATAGGGACTCCAGTGTCTATGTATATAGGGGCTCCAGTGTCTATGTATATAGGGACCCTTGTGTCTATGCATATAGGGACTCCAGTGTCTATGTATATAAGGACTCCAGTGTCTATGTATATAGGGACTCCAGTGTCTATGTATATAGGGACTCCAGTGTCTATGTATAGAGGGACCCTTGTGTCTATGTATATAGGGACCCTTGTGTCTATGTATACAGGGGCCCTCGTGTCTATGTATATAGGGACCCTCGTGTCTATGTATATAGGGATCCTCGTGTCTATGTATATAGAGACCCTTGTGTCTATTTATATAGGGACCCTCGTGTCTATGTATATAGGGACTCCAGTGTCTATGTATATAGGGACTCCAGTGTCTATGTATATAGGGACTCCAGTGTCTATGTATATAGGGACTCCAGTGTCTATGTATATAGAGACCCTTGTGTCTATGTATATAGGGACTCCAGTGTCTATGTATATAGGGACCCTTGTGTCTATGTATATAGGGACTCCAGTGTCTATGTATATAGGGACTCCAGTGTCTATGTATATAGGGACTCCAGTGTCTATGTATATAGGGACTTGTGTCAGTGTCTATGTATATAGGGACTCGTGTCTATGTATATAAGAAGTGTCTATGTATAGAGACCCTTGTGTCTATTTATATAGGGACCCTCGTGTCTATGTATAGAGGGACTTCAGTGTCTATGTATATAGGGACTCCAGTGTCTATGTATATAGGGACTCCAGTGTCTATGTATATAGGAATCCTTGTGTCTATGTATATAGGGACTCCAGTGTCTATGTATATAGGGACTCCAGTGTCTATGTATATAGGGACTCCAGTGTCTATGTATAGAGGGACTCCAGTGTCTATGTATATATGGACCCTCGTGTCTATGTATATAGGGGCCCTCGTGTCTATGTATAGAGGGACCCTTGTGTCTATGTATATAGTTACCCATGTGTCTATGTATGTAGGAACCCTTGTGTCTATGTATGTAGTGACCCTTGTGTCTATGTATATAGGAACCCTTGTGTCTATGTATAGAGGGACCCTTGTGTCTATGTATATAGTTACCCATGTGTCTGTGTATATAGGGACCCATGTGTCTATGTATATAGGGACCCTTGTGTCTATGTATATATGTATATAGTGACCCTTGTGTCTGTGTATAGAGGGACCCTTGTTTTTATGTATATAGGGACCCTTGTGTCTGTGTATATAGAGACCATTGTGTCTGTGTATAGAGGGACTCCAGTGTCTATGTATATAGGAATCCTTGTGTCTATGTATATAGGGACCCTTGTGCCTATGTATAGAGGGACTCCAGTGTCTATGTATATAGGGATTCCAGTGTCTATGTATAGAGGGACTCCAGTGTCTATGTATAGAGGGACCCTTGTGTCTATGTATACAGGGGCCCTCGTGTCTATGTATATAGGGATCCTCGTGTCTATGTATATAGAGACCCTTGTGTCTATTTATATAGGGACCCTCGTGTCTATGTATATAGGGACTCCAGTGTCTATGTATATAGGGACTCCAGTGTCTATGTATATAGGGACTCCAGTGTCTATGTATATAGGGACTCCAGTGTCTATGTATATAGGGACCCTTGTGTCTATGTATATAGGGACTCCAGTGTCTATGTATATAGGGACCCTTGTGTCTATGTATATAGGGACCATTGTGTCTATGTATATAGGGACTCCAGTGTCTATGTATATAGGACTCCTTGTGTCTATGTATATAGGGACCCTTGTGCCTATGTATAGAGGGACTCCAGTGTCTATGTATATAGGGATTCCAGTGGCTATGTATATAGGGACTCCAGTGTCTATGTATATAGAGACTTCAGTGTCTATGTATAGAGGGACTCCAGTGTCTATGTATAGAGGGACCCTTGTGTCTATGTATACAGGGGCCCTCGTGTCTATGTATATAGGGACCCTCGTATCTATGTATAAAGGGATCCTTGTGTCTATGTATATATAGAGACCCTTGTGTCTATTTATATAGGGACCCTTGTGACTATGTGTATAGAGACCCTTGTGTCTATGTATATAGATACCCTTGTGACTATGTATATAGGGACCCTTGTGTCTATTTATATAGGGACCCTTGTGACTATGTGTATAGAGACCCTTGTGTCTATGTATATAGAGACCCTTGTGTCTATGTATATAGGGACCCTTGTGACTATGTATATAGGGACCCATGTGTCTATGTATATAGGGAACCATGTGTCTATGTATATAGGGACCCATGTGTCTATGTACATAGGGACCCTTGTGTCTATATAGGGACCCTTGTGTCTATATATATAGGGACCCCTGTGTCTATGTATTTGGGACACCCCCCACCCCCACCCCCACCCCCGACCCCCACTCCACCACTTTTTTAAAAATTTTATTTATCTTTGTTTGCTGAAGTGTAACGTCACAACGCGTTCAAAATAAAGTAAACTTCGCAGAAACAACTATATTTTCAAATTTGTCTGCAGCCAGTGTCTTTTATGTGAAAAGTTAATTTATCGGAAGCAAGTGGTTTTCTATTAATACAGCCGAGACAAGAGAACTTCCTTACAGTGACAGAAACTACTGTCTACAGAGCTCAATCCTGGGGCCATCAAGTAACTGAACAGTTTTGGTTTAGTTTAAACAGTCATATAACCAACATTTATTTATTTCAGTAGAAAAGAAATAGTATAATTACATACATTACTTTCCAATTCTCTACAGACATGTTTCCTCCTTTGAAACCATCGGGTGGAGATGACATTTCTTTCATAACTAGATTTAAGCACGCAGATCAAATCAATGTCCACCTTATTATCAGCTTTCAAGACATTAATGTATCTTAAATTTTCACAAAAGTTTTGTTGATTTTCAAGATAATGTTCTTTTGAAGTTTAAGCCCCAAGCCAAAAGTTCGCCTATCAAAGAACAGCTCTTGTAGTCTTTGTTTTTTTGTTTTATAATATCTATCACACTTTCTGGGCTACCTTTATCAACGGCAACACATGTATTAGCACTTACATATCTATGTCCGTGGTATTGCTTCTTCTGTAATCTGTATTTTTATCCTTTATTTATTTTTACGTTGAAAGGAGAGAGAAAAAAAACAGAACAGCGTATTGTATGTACATGTTCTTTTACCTAATTTCCGTGCAATACTATGATATCACTGACTTTACTTTGTCTTTAGTCAATATCTCTAAACGTGACCAAACGTGATCTGTCTACAACAGTTCAATATAGTTTTCAATGATAGAAATTATGGTGCGATACCTAAAAAAGTTAACGTACAGAGTTGTTGACCCTCTTACAACTTCGGCCCAATAATTATATGTTTTTTGGTGTTATATTAATTTATTTATTTCGTTTTCACTGACATAACCACAAAAAATATATACTCTATATGGAAATAATTATATTCAGACCATGAAATAAAGTTAAAGTTAAACAAAATGTTAATTTTTTATCTTTAATTATGTAAATACTTTTAGACGAAATGTCTTTTATTTTCATAGGTGGTGGCGCTGCCGAATAGTAGGAAGCGGTGCTTGTCAACATCAAAACAACCGACACCTTCATTGGAAATTTATGAGATAAATTTGTAAGTTAATTATCCTAGTTTGGCAACATTCGATTGAAAGCATTGCAAATCTAGTTTAGCGGCAACAGCACACTTGTTCTGACCCGATCCTTTCGGTGAAACTCTGTCAACGTGTTTACCATGTGATGGACTGATCAACTTTCGTGTAACCCGGGATCAGTCTCGGTCATTTGATCTATGGGAAGTGTGGACGAATTATCTGTGAACTGAATCTGTACCAGTGTTATTTTTTCAGATTTTGACAGATGTAACATCACCAGTTGTAATTTTACAATGCTTTTGCTAATTTAAAGTCCTAATCAGCTAATTAGCCATGGGCGTTGTACACTTGCATATCTGAACTAGAGACACCTGATAAACGACAGATACAACCTCAGACGTCGACTCCAGATGATCCGGAGACCTTTAGAAGAAATATATCACAAATATGACCACATGACTTTTTATTCGCAAAAGTAATATTTGGGTCATGTTTCCTGTATGCTTATACAATTATATACTCTATATGCAACGAAAGCAGGAGTTAACAGTAGATAAGATATGAAATATTATCAGTAATGCAATGGTTGCTATGGCAGATTGCATGCCTAAGGTCAAGCCTGTAGGTTCCAATCTCTCATCCTGTTTTACAGATTGTAACTATCGTAGGTAGTAACAATGAAGTCGGGGGAGCTCTGGTATTTCCAGATCTTTCCATGTGAAGATTTTTTCATATGTATTTTTTTATGTCTGAGGCACCAGGCACTGTTCTATTCAGATTGGTCATTTAGATGGATATTCTCCTAAATCCAAAATGTATACACCTTCTGAATCACATACCTCATACTCGGAAGGATTCTCTATATACATCAAATTAGATTTTGTCAATCAGTAAGTAACAAGGGCTCTCTCTTCATTGTAAATTAAGAATCTAAGATGTAGATACGGTTGGTAATTATGCACTTACTTTTTCCATTTGAATTCAATACATGAAATTGTGTACACTGTTTGTATAGTTCCCTGCATGATCAGATCATCAGTTGGAGTTCAAGTCCGAATGATGGCATGAAACATTGGCTGCAAATGTCAGTCTATCAACTTGGGAGCCACTGGTCTGTGATGCTTCATAAGATCTGTCCTTATAATTGATTTTGGTAAAACTGAAAGTTTTTAACTCAATTTGAAAAATTAAAAACCACGCAAGAATGTGAAACCAAGAAAAACAACAATTTTTTTTTTTAATTTCCTCCTTATTTGTATTTTTTCACTGAAGTAAGTAAAATTATGTATAGGTTTCCTTGATCTCTATAGCCAGTTGTGATCTTTTGATTATGGGACTGATCTGGAAAACAAACTGACTGACAGGTGAACATCTATCTCGGAGTTGATAGAAATGAAATTTTATCATTACTACTTCTTAAGAGGACTTTTCAAGTTTCATCTACATTTATGATTAAGAGCAAAAAGAGAGGAAAGAAGAGAAAAGATTCAGTTTTATAGACCAAATAAAGATCAAACATTGATGGGTATGTTCAAGATCCCTCTTGGATCTCTTGTTTAAATATTAAGTATTCACTAATTATACTTGCTTTAATTATTGCAGTGTTCATTTGAGTTCACAGAAAGGGTTCTTCCTTTTATCAAACTTTAATATTATTGCAGACAATGCCTTTTCAATTTTTTTTTTTTTTCATAATTTTGATGTTTTTACGTGAGGATAATGATGATCTTACACATGGAAATACTTTTCTTACTTTCCTATAGGTGATCACATCATGTCAGAAGGAGATACAAAAGTAGAGTCTACAGAGGACAGCAGCCCAGCCAAGGAAGAGGTTGTGAAGGCTGGACCGAGTGAAGAGGCTGGGGCTACTGCAGCTGGTGCAGAGGCAGCTCCAACAGAAAATGGAACCAAGAACAAAGTGAGACACAAGAAGAAAGGAGGAAAGAAAGAGAAATCAACGGACTCTCCCGTTAATTCTGGACCTCCTGTAGGGGCGACAGGAGGGAGTTACAAATGGGAAACACTTAAAATGATGATGAATCCAAGAGTGTTTGCCACTCCAGTGCTTCACAATGGTGAACTTTACATAATAGGGGGTTGTGATGAAAAAGGAGAACCTCTGGACTCGTGTGAACATTACAATGCTGCTAAGAGAAAATGGAACACTCTAAATAGTATGCCAACAAAACGTGCTGCTCCAGCATGTGGAGTAGTAAAGGACAAAATCGTAGCCATTGGAGGAGTAGGGATCTCACAAGACCCAGTTGATGCTGTAGAAGTATATTGTATATCGAGTAAAAAATGGACTGTAATGGAATCACTAGTAAGACCTCTTCTAGGACTGTCACTGGTCGTCAAGGGTAATTAGTTTACTCAGATATTCAATGACACTGAATGGTCTTGTTGAATTACCCCAAAGGTCTTTCAATATTCAGTAATATTTTGTGTTGTATGTTGATCAACTTATCAAAGCCCATAATTTTACACATCAGATGTTTCCAGAAATCATGAAAAGATAATTGAGGCATCTGATTGGTCAAAATTGAGATATTGTCCAACTGATGAAAATTGATTTATGGCAGTTTTTAAGAATGGTGATTACAATGGCGCTATTTTCAAAAGCATCGAATATCATTTGGCTGTCAAGATGACCAGATAAGACCTATGTTAAGGGGAACCTTGTCCAGACTTCACTTAAACCAATTTTCAATGAATTGATATTCGTTTTTTTATTTATTTTTTTTATTATTATTTTTCAATTTGAATTCACAATGTCTCACACAAAAAAAATCAATTCACAGTATCAACCACAAAGTGATTTATATTTTTACACAGGTTCACATTTAAATACACTGCATACATTTAGTATGGACATGCACATTTACGTGTAGATACGCAAACAGATACATGCTTACACACAAAAAACAAATTTCATATATTCATCTATACAAAATCATACTTCATTTACATACTTTCATATCACAGAAACATGTTTTTGTTAAATATTGGTTTTCTTGGTTATCAAGTCATTTAATATGTTTTTGTGTAATGGACCATAGTTTTTATAATATATGGTAAGGAGATGGGGCATGACAAGGGAATAGTGTAGTCTAGGGAAATTCAAGGTCATACATAAAGGTCATTGAGACTGAAACAATTGCAGTGATCAATCTACAATTTATTTAAATAGATCCTTTTCAAGATTATTGCTAAAAAAATGAGTCCTGTAATGTAGCATCGAAATATTTCTAGAAATTTCACAGGTCCCATCAAAATTTGCAAGAACATTTTTTCCTTACGTTTTGTGAAAGTTTGGAATAGCCTTGTGGAAAATGTGGTATTATCGCCGACCGTAAAATATATTTAAAAACAGACTGGATGAATATTGGCAAAATCAGGAACTGCTCTCTAATTATAGATCTCAGTAATGTCACATTCACTTTCATTTTAATTTTTATGTAATTGAGTCTGATGAAGAGGATCTTATAAGATCCTGTATCGGTTAATAAACTTAACCTAATTCATTGAGTATAGGACTCAGGACTCACACGTAGATTGATCACTGCAGGAAGAGGCTAGGGTTCTAAGTTGTCCTCAGGATGATAGTTCTAGTTAATTTGATTTAAACATTTTTTTATTGTATGATTAGGCACAAGTTATAACAACTTAGCCACGCCTTCTCTCGAAGTTATAGTTATCTCATATTTTAAGAGTTTTATTTCTCATGTCTAGTTATAATGTAAATAAAATGTCACATTTTATGAATTTGGTAATAGTCGTCTTATACATGTACAATATATACCAGCATAAACCAACCTGAAGGAAGAAGATGCACATCCCCATTTGATGCCAAAGTTTTTCTGACGCCTGTTATAAATTCCATTACAATTATTAGTATTACTGATACTTAAACACATTTGAAGACAAATTACATATCTAAGGTTTTCTGCTGCTGAGGCGTAATTTTCTTCATTTATCAATTTTTAAGCCAGGTGCCTTAAATCCAATGCTTTGCTTACAGATGACTTGGTGTATGTGGTTGGTGGGATGTCTGATGATAGTAACCCACGATCCTCCCTTCTCAGCTATGACGTGGAAGAAAACAAATGGAGGGATTATCCCCAGATGAATGTTGAGAGATATGCTACATTTTCATTCCTCATCAATGGAAAGTTATATGTGATAGGTAAATAATGATTTGTTGAAGTCATCATGTAATATTGATCCGTATATTTTGTGAAAAACTAAAGTATTTTGTCTTTCGTTTATATATTATGCTAGGATGACAAGAGTGAGTTGGTATTTGTTTACACGGAGATAACTATGGCAGGTTGATAATTGTTGATAATTGTTAATAAATTGTTGATTTGGCTAAATTATGGTTCTTTGACTATGAAAATAAATGTTTGTTTTCTCTTGGCTGACTATGATAAATCAAATATTTGTTGATATTGTAAAAAAAATTTAGTACTTATTAATAATTTCTTTAATTATCAGGAAAATTTATGGATATTCCACTTATCTTCAGCTGGTTTTGGAAGTAAACGATGCAATCAATGTTAGGAATTATTTCTGATTGAAAATGTCACAGATTTTTTTTTATAAATTTCAAATACATTTCTGAAATAATTATGAGAAGAACATTAAATGTGGTTTGATGTAATTAAAAGTACATGGATAGTATTTTAGATAATTCATATGGTAATCGCTGTCCCAGACTGTATAAACCTGCAATCATGTTTTTATTACAGGATCTTAATAAAGATTTCTTTGTTCAATTTTCTGTTCTTAATTCTGTATGATAGGAGGACGTCAAGGAAAGTTACCAACTACAGCTCTTGAATGCTACGATTTCGAGCAGAAAAAGTGGGAACGTCTTGATGATATTCCATCGAAGCGGGTATTTGCCATGTATACTGCTGCCGACAAATACATATTCAGTATCGGAGGACTCAATCAGCCTGCCACTCTTGGCTTTTCACGTACCATGGAAATGTTCAACACAGAAACAAGTAGGATACATTCTATTTATTTTCTACTTTCCTAACATAATCATGTTACCTTTTTTTGGTCCTTAAGGATCAGAATTATCATTAAATGCTCAATATAAAATGTCGGGTATGTTGACACAAGGTCTCTGTCACCAGTAAGTGACTTACCATGTAGCTACATGATATACAGAATGACCATTCTATATTGCCATGCTACATTATGCATTGGTTTTTGCCTTAGAGATGTTATTTCTGCAAGATCAACTAGAAATGTATGTTTGTATTTTTAATTATTTAACGTTAATTAATGTTAATAATGTGATATTGTATATATTTTTAATTATTTGATGTAACTTTGACATTTTACAGTGCTTACTGTTAATGATATAAAAGAAATCCATTTATAAGTACTGCCTATCCTGTATCAGTCTATTGACATGATATACCTTCCATAGGGCTACAGAGCAATGGATGCTTTTTACTAACATAGTCAATAATGATAGGAGATTTTAATCTCCTACACAATGCTAAAGAGGACAGCTCCATATCTAATAAAAATATTACAAGTACAATGTCAGTTTATCCTTTTATCCCTACCTGGTTGACAGAAAAATGGGAGGAAGCTCCTAACATGAAGATCGAACGAGGAGACTTCGCTGTGGGAGTGGTCGGCAACAGAGTTGTGTGTGCTGGTGGTTTATGTATGTACAAGCTCTCATTGATGTTAGATTGACAAAGTTTACGAGACAACTAAAATTTTCAACTTTTTGTTGAGTATTACAAATTGATGATATTTTTCTATTTTTGTAGAACGTAACATTTATTAGTTAAAATCTTTATACAGCTGCATTTTAAGCATAAAATTTGATGTCCAATATCTTTATTTATTGAAGTGCATTACTGTATAAGAATGGTGTAGTTTTCTTTACTGTGGGATATTGCTGGAGTGATTATATGTATATTGTATCTTTCTCCAAACATCAGAAAGGAAAAGAAACTTGAAAGGTGTACAAGTAATTTGATTTGGTTCGGTGGTCCAAGGGGAGGTAATCAACCGGTTACAGACCAATTACAAGGTCTATGTTTGTTACTGTCTCGATATCAAAAGACACAACACTAAAACAGTCTTCCATCACATTTTACATTTGAGCACTTTTACAATGAAAATTACATTTCTCATCCCCTTATAAGCGGAAAAATTCTGCCCAAATATTACTTTCTCATACACATATAAGCCACATCAATATATAAGCAACATGCCCGTTTTTGAGGTAAAAAGTTGAGGCCTATAATCCAGAAAATAGAGTATTTGTACTAATAATGAAATCCTATTTCAGGTAATGCAGGAAAGCCACTGAACTCTGTGGAAGCCTTTGACTGGGGCAGTAAAGAATGGAGTGAGGTCACGGATCTGCCCTCAGCACACTGTTCATGTGCTTACATCATGCTGAATGGACGACTCCATGTAGTGGGCGGGCTCACTCTGGGTGGGGCAGGCAAGAAAGTGGAGGCCCTCAGTTACCGGTGACCACTGTGCCCACCATGACTAGATCAGTTATTACGTCCTATGAATAACCTACTTGTTTTACCCTCCCCAAATTGTTGTGTGATTTGCTTTTACGGAAAACATTTTAATTTCGTACCAGAAAAAATGACTGACACAAAAATTAGATTATGAGAGAGTACTTCTATATTTTAAAGGAAGGATATTAACCATAAATTATGATATTAATTGTGCTCCATTTATAAACTATATGAAATAGGAATCATCATGTGACACGATAAAGCTTTATGTAGTAAATATTTGTAGGAATGAATCCTGTAGAAAGATACACCTGTGTGGTTACCATTAAGTAGTCCCTAAATCAAACACTTTGTATGAAGTCGGTCATTAATCACAAATCAAAGTTTTGTATTGTTTTGACTTTTTAAAACTTAACATACATTGTATTATCTTAATTAATCCTCAGATTGTACTCTGGTGTTTTTCCTGTGATGTTACTAACTTGATTACAAATCAACCTAATCATTTCATAACTTCATGAAAAGCATTAGATTTGTACGCCTTCCTGAGATGGAAATACCATAAAGGATCCTTCACTTCAGCAATCACAAGGTTGGTTACAGGGTTTTCATTGACGGAAGTCTTCCTATCAAACAACGTCTGAATTACATTGATGATTATATAAATAAACCTTTGTAGATATCTAGGTTTAGTGTTTACTTGTCCTGACTAAAATTAATGTGTGAGGTAGGATGTTTCCATTATGTTTGAAATGTTACATATGTGATAACACGTTTCATTTTACATAGTGTCTATTAATTATCAAAACGATCCACCCCTATCTACTACAATCATTACAAACTATTTTCTTCAGATATTAGAGTGGCTAATTTTTTATTCAAAATTGTAGACAAAGAAAGAAAAACAAGAAATATGTTTTAGAAAAATTTCAACCTTTATAATGTCATTTTATGTGTCATTATATGAACCTGTGATTGAATGAAGAAATGGGACAAATTGAATTTATTTTGTTTTTTAAAATTTTAATAGAGGCAGAAGGCTGAAAATGCATTTTGAAGTATTGCCCCTAAAATATAGAATGTATACTTCTATACAAAGAAGTGCTTCTATATTGATTAAAAGTTTCTTAGCAAACGTATAAAGCAGTGAGTCTGAGCAAGTCAAACACATGCTTCTAAATAAATAAATTATATTTCTAGACATATCATAGTACTTCTAAACAGATTTGAATTGTACTTCTAAACAAACTAGAATTGTACTTCTAAACAAATTGGAATTGTACTTCTAAACAAACTAGAATTGTACTTCTAAACAAATTGGAATTGTACTTCTAAACAAATTAGAATTGTACTTCTAAACAAATTAGAATTGTACTTCAGCAAATTAGAATTGTACTTCTAAACAAATTAGAATTGTACTTCTAAACAAATTGGAATTGTACTTCTAAACAGATTAGAATTGTACTTCTAAACAAATTAGAATTGTACTTCTAAACAAATTAGAATTGTACTTCTAAACAAACTAGAATTGTACTTCTAAACAAATTGGAATTGTACTTCTAAACAAACTAGAATTGTACTTCTAAACAAATTGGAATTGTACTTCTAAACAAACTAGAATTGTACTTCTAAACAAATTGGAATTGTACTTCTAAACAAATTAGAATTGTACTTCTAAACAAATTAGAATTGTACTTAAACAGCAAATTAGAATTGTACTTCTAAACAAATTAGAATTGTACTTCTTAACAAATTAGAAATATACTTCTAAACAAATTAGAATTGTACTTCTAAACATTTGAATTGTACTTCTAAACAAAATAGAATTGTACTTCTAAACAAATTAGAATTGTACTTCTAAACAAACTAGAATTGTACTTCTAAACAATTATATTAGAATTGTACTTCTAAACAAATTAGAATTGTACTTCTAAACAAACTAGAATTGTACTTCTAAACAAATTAGAATTTTACTTCTAAACAAACTAGAATTGTACTTCTAAACAAATTAGAAATATACTTCTAAACAAATTAGAATTGTACTTCTAAACAAATTAGAATTGTACTTCTAAACAAATTAGAATTGTACTTCTAAACAAATTAGAATTGTACTTCTAAACAAATTAGAATTGTACTTCTAAACAAACTAGAATTGTACTTCTAAACAAATTAGAAATATACTTCTAAACAAATTAGAAATATACTTCTAAACGAACTAGAATTGTACTTCTAAACAAACTAGAATTGTACTTCTAAACAAACTAGAATTGTACTTCTAAACAAACTAGAATTTTACTTCTAAACAAATTAGAATTGTACTTCTAAACAAATTAGAAATATACTTCTAAACAAATTAGAATTGTACTTCTAAACAAATTAGAATTGTACTTCTAAACAAATTAGAATTGTACTTCTAAACAAACTAGAATTGTACTACTAAACAAATTAGAATTGTACTTCTAAACAAATTAGAATTGTACTTCTAAACAAATTAGAATTATACTGCTAAACAAATTAGAATTGTACTACTAAACAAATTAGAATCGTACTACTAAACAAATTAGAATTATACTGCTAAACAAACTAGAATTGTACTTCTAAACAAATTGGAATTGTACTTCTAAACAAATTAGAATTATACTGCTAAACAAATTGGAATTGTACTGCTAAACAAATTGGAATTGTACTTCTAAACAAACTGGAATTGTACTTCTAAACAAACTAGAATTTTACTTCTAAACAAACTAGAATTGTACTTCTAAACAAATTAGAATTGTACTTCTAAACAAATTAGAATTGTACTTCTAAACAAATTAGAAATATACTTCTAAACAAATTAGAATTGTACTTCTAAACAAATTAGAATTGTACTTCTAAACAAATTAGAATTATACTGCTAAACAAATTAGAATTGTACTCTAAACAAATTGGAATTGTACTTCTAAACAAATTGGAATTGTACTCTAAACTAAACAAATTAGAATTGTACTTCTAAACAAATTAGAATTATACTTCTAAACAAACTAGAATTGTACTTCTAAACAAATTAGAATTGTACTTCTAAACAAATTGGAATTGTACTTCTAAACAAATTAGAATTATACTGCTAAACAAATTGGAATTGTACTTCTAAACAAATTGGAATTGTACTTCTAAACAAATTAGAATTGTACTTCTAAACAAATTAGAATTGTACTCTAAACAAATTAGAATTGTACTTCTAAACAAATTAGAATTGTACTTCTAAACAAATTAGAATTATACTTCTAAACAAATTAGAATTGTACTTCTAAACAAACAAATTAGAATTATACTTCTAAACAAATTAGAATTGTACTTCTAAACAAATTAGAATTGTACTTCTAAACAAATTAGAATTGTACTTCTAAACAAATTAGAATTGTACTTCTAAACAAATTAGAATTGTACTTCTAAACAAATTAGAATTGTACTTCTAAACAAATTAGAATTGTACTTCTAAACAAATTAGAATTGTATTAGAATTCTAAACAAATTAGAATTGTACTTCTAAACAAATTAGAATTGTACTTCTAAACAAATTAGAATTGTACTTCTAAACAAATTAGAATTGTACTTCTAAACAAATTAGAATTGTACTTCTAAACAAATTAGAATTGTACTTCTAAACAAATTAGAATTGTACTTCTAAACAAATTAGAATTATACTTCTAAACAAATTAGAATTGTACTACTAAACAAATTAGAATTGTACTTCTAAACAAATTGGAATTGTACTTCTAAACAAACTAGAATTGTACTTCTAAACAAATTAGAATTGTACTTCTAAACAAATTAGAATTGTACTTCTAAACAAATTAGAATTGTACTTCTAAACAAATTAGAAGTACTTCTAAACAAATTAGAATTGTACTTCTAAACAAATTAGAATTGTACTTCTAAACAAACTAGAATTGTACTTCTAAACAGATTAGAATTGTACTTCTAAACAAATTGGAATTGTACTTCTAAACAAACTAGAATTGTACTTCTAAACAAATTGGAATTGTACTTCTAAACAAATTTGAATTGTACTTCAGCAAATTAGAATTGTACTGCTAAACAAATCAAATATAAGGTTCTAAACAAATTTACCAAAAAGTGATTTTTTGTTAAAATTTTATAGCGACAAGTTAGGTATGCTTACATAATTATAACAAATCTCAAACTGTTTGTAGGTTAGGTTATACATGTTTGTACAAGATAAATCAATCATACAGACTGTATAGTCAACAATAATCAGCAGAATGTATAGTCAACAATAATCAGCTGACTGTATAGTCAACAATAATCAGCAGAATGTATAGTCAACAATAATCAGCTGACTGTATAGTCAACAATAATCAGCTGACTGTATAGTCCTGACTGTATAGTCAACAATAATCAGCTGACTGTATAGTCCTGACTGTATAGTCAACAATAATCAGCTGACTGTATAGTCAACAATAATCAGCTGACTGTATAGTCAACAATAATCAGCAGACTGTATAGTCAACAATAATCAGCTGACTGTATAGTCAACAATAATCAGCTGACTGTATAGTCAACAATAATCAGCTGACTGTATAGTCCTGACTGTATAGTCAACAATAATCAGCTGACTGTATAGTCCTGACTGTATAGTCAACAATAATCAGCTGACTGTATAGTCAACAATAATCAGCAGAATGTATAGTCAACAATAATCAGCTGACTGTATAGTCAACAATAATCAGCTGACTGTATAGTCAACAATAATCAGCTGACTGTATAGTCAACAATAATCAGCAGAATGTATAGTCAACAATAATCAGCTGACTGTATAGTCAACAATAATCAGCTGACTGTATAGTCAACAATAATCAGCTGACTGTATAGTCAACAATAATCAGCTGACTGTATAGTCAACAATAATCAGCTGACTGTATAGTCAACAATAATCAGCTGACTGTATAGTCAACAATAATCAGCTGACTGTATAGTCAACAATAATCAGCTGACTGTATAGTCAACAATAATCAGCTGACTGTATAGTCCTGACTGTATAGTCAACAATAATCAGCTGACTGTATAGTCCTGACTGTATAGTCAACAATAATCAGCTGACTGTATAGTCAACAATAATCAGCTGACTGTATAGTCAACAATAATCAGCTGACTGTATAGTCCTGACTGTATAGTCAACAATAATCAGCTGACTGTATAGTCCTGACTGTATAGTCAACAATAATCAGCTGACTGTATAGTCAACAATAATCAGCGACTGTATAGTCAACAATAATCAGCTGACTGTATAGTCAACAATAATCAGCAGAATGTATAGTCAACAATAATCAGCTGACTGTATAGTCAACAATAATCAGCTGACTGTATAGTCAACAATAATCAGCTGACTGTATAGTCAACAATAATCAGCAGAATGTATAGTCAACAATAATCAGCTGACTGTATAGTCAACAATAATCAGCTGACTGTATAGTCAACAATAATCAGCTGACTGTATAGTCAACAATAATCAGCTGACTGTATAGTCAACAATAATCAGCTGACTGTATAGTCAACAATAATCAGCAGACTGTATAGTCAACAATACTCAGCTGACTGTATAGTCAACAATACTCAGCTGACTGTATAGTCAACAATAATCAGCTGACTGTATAGTCAACAATAATCAGCAGAATGTAT